AGACAGGGGTGTCAAACTCCAGTCCTGGGGGGCCGGAGCCCCACACATTTTTGGTTTTCCCTTAATTTAAGAAACTTGATTCATCTCCTTGTGCTAATTACCACACAGCTCTTGAGCTGAATCATTTGCGGTGGAACAGGGAAAGAACTCTGGCCCTCCAGGACTGCAGTTTGACACCCCTGCTCTAAGACCAGGAATCATTCTTCTAGCCCTACATTGAACCCTTTCTGAGGCAGCAATGTCCTGACAGCTATAGGCATAAGGCAGAGAATAACCCAGGATGAGCCACCAACCCATTGCAGGGCACAGTCACACACCACAAACTCATACACACACACACTTATGGGCAATTTGTTCACATGTTTTTGGATTGTGGGGGATAACCTGAGGACCCAGAGGAAACCCCACGATGACATGAGGAGAACATACACATGGAACCATGGCTGAAACTTGAACCTTAGTCTCACGTGTGTGAGGCAACAGTGCTAACCACTGCACCACCCATGTGCTCTGTCAGCAAAGGCTAATTCTCTGTTCACCTTCAAAACCTTTTGTTTGTGAATATTGAGTACTTAAATATTTATTGGCTGTCACTTGTCATGTTAGCTGAATTCAGTTGTTGTACTTTTTCATTATAATGTTTAGTTAAAAATGAATAATGTATTGTGGCTAAATACTGTTGCTTTAATATAATATTCAATAGAATACCCTGCCAGTTACTTTTATACTAATGCACAGCCCAGTAATGGCAGGATGCTTACAAGGTTACTTAGTCACCACAGCGCTACGGGGTTCCAGGTTCGAAGCCAATCCAAGCTGTATTTAGCTGAAGTTCACAGATTTTCATCTAGTCTGCATGGGATTCCTGCCTTGTAATGCACCTGTGAATGTGTAGCAACAACTGGTACTTGGCGTATACATACAAATGACTATCTAACTGGTTAAATCAGTGTTACCCAATCCAGTCCCAGGGGACCCACAGTCAGTCTATGTCGACTGTCTGGCAGGGAGCTCAGAACGAGCAAAAACATGGACCGACAGTGTGTCCCCAAGGACCGGATTGGGAAATATTGGGCTAAATGATTAATGATAATACATAGATGAAGGAATTGATTGTTCATTAATTAACTGGATTATTTAGATGAACATCATCCCCAAATGTGACAATATATACAATATACAAATATATATAATATAAAACAATATATATGTAGATATACTGAAACTGATGTGCAGCCTAAGGTTACCATTTTTACATGTTTTATTTATGTTTGTATATTCTACTGTGGTGAAGGACATTACTCATCCTCATACGAGAAACATATTTTTTGTTCACAAAGCGATTTGTTCACATTTTCCTTGTACACAAAATATTGTGACTGATCTCAGTCAATTAGCTTAGAGACTGTGGCCTAATTGTCTTCCTCATGTAATATACTCACCAAACACATTTAGTAAAATCTATAAAGCTATATGTTATGGTACCTAATAGCTACTTAATCTATATTGCCAAGTCAATATGAAGTTCACAAAACTAATTTTTTCATTAAGGAAAAAATATACCTTTATATTACATCCTTATTTCTGAAAGAATTAAGATTGAAAAATATTTTTTGCTCATTCATTTGTTTTGTGCACCTATGTTTTTTTCTTCCCAGTCACACCAGCACAATAATAGATTGCTGTACTATCACTACTGTTTTTCACTATTTAAAACAGACACTACAAACCTTTGGATGAAAGTAATTTGAATGTTTGGTACAAAACGTCAACATTTTTACTTCTTTTATGTCTGTCACGGAGAGGTATACAAAAAGGTTTCATACTGCAAAGTGGTCAAAAAGTTCAACTAACACAGGTTTGGAAATAATTTTTTTTAACACTTGTAAAATCTACCATTGTGAGATCAATACTTTCATTTTACAAGCTGCAAAAAATGGTACATAGTAGGATTAAATAATAATTATTAACTGTAACAAAGAAACAAATCCAACCTGTATAAAGTTTTCCTTCCAGACAACAGTGACGTTTAAAACCAATAACCTGGCATTTAAACACTGACAACAGACTGAAAACAAAATGTCAACGAATATTATTTTTATGTAAATATCATTCTCATAAATTTAGTCAGCGTCAGGTAAAAATGAACTTGTGCTACTTGTTCGGATTGTTTAACAGGAAAATGCAGATAAAAAAATGCCAGTACTTAAATTGTTAGTAATAAAATTTAATTTTTAGCACTATGTGCACTGGGTTTTCGGCAAGGCTGTATTTTTAAGTACTATCTTCTGAACAACTTTTAGGCGAAGGTAACTTAAATTACAAGTCCTTTTAAACAGTCATAGACTGAGGAAACCACTCCAGCTCAGACAGAAAATATTCTAAAACGGAGAAACAGCGCCACCGGCTGGCATCTTTTAGGTACAACGTTTGCAGGCCATCGCGGTCGGATAACTTAAATTTATTTAACGGTAGGCTGAACTGAAACGCTCCAGTCTAGTTGAAGTTATGTACTCGGTGTATTTTTTCTGTGAGAAAATAAAAACCTTCTTTTGGTGTCTATCTGAGTTGTGTGTTCTATGTCCTGCTAACTCATGACAGAAAAAATCTAATAATTAAACTTTTTTAGTTATGTGATTGTTCAAAGACAGTTTGAAACATGAGAAAGACATATAACATCTGGAACTGAAGACTGATCTTTTTTAAAGGGAATGGGGGTTTGAATCACACCCCTACTGTATGTGTACATTACAGACGTAAGGTATTTGAACTAAATCTCTCATACTACCCCAATGTATCATGCCAGTAGTGTTAATAGTTTACCGCAATATATTTTTTCAATTACACTAGTCTGAAATTAAGTTTTTGCAATGTGTCAAAAAAACACAGGCCTAGATTTTCAAAAACTGTAGTGTCTAATACTGCCATAGATTGTAACTGTTCAGTTTGCACTTGTACATTTTTATGTCAGCAATTTTTTCCCCCAAATGACTAATCAAAGGGAGTACAGACTCTCTCCCAGAGGACACCTTCGGGTTTCCCTGCTGTGTCCAGACTCATTATCCTCCCAATGAAATTTTATTATATCTCACCAGATCCATTAAAATAGTTTGCTTCTCGTTAAGTGAAATAATGGCAATATTTGGCCTATGTGTATTTCCATTATAAAAAGCTTACTCACACTTTCATTTTAATGATCCTTCCATGTCCCTGCCGCACTCCAGTAATTGTAGGCCTAAATATTTTAAATGGACAAACATGACCGAACTCTTTCAATCACACCACAGTTGAAAGGTCTACATGTTTTTCTTTTTCGTTTGTGTATCTCTTCTGTGAGTTTAGCTTTTGGTTTCCTTTCATTCTTTTACCTCAAACTTCACTGCCCAAACTTATGCTGAAGGCCAAAAAATCTAGCAATCCAGCAAGAGGTTTTTTTTTCTCAAATTATTCAATAAATATTCAGAAATTTGCAGAGTATTGGGGGAAAACACGACTATCTGTGTTATGTACAACTATAACATGATTAACATGATATAACATATAGATGTGACCACCGGGAGTGAAAAGTCTATGCACACACTGAGATTTTCTACATTTGCATGTTACTTAATATTTACTAGAAATACACTCAATATCGTTTGCTAACAAATAAATTTACAGTATGTTCACCATTTGAGTACCTTTATTAGCAAGAAAATGTCATCTTTAATTCATCAAAGTTGCCTCCTCTAGCAGTTATAAAAGCAGATAAAAGTCATACTCAAACTCTAGGTCGTCCTTTAACTTTAAATGTACTAGTTAACCGGATTGATTAACTGGATTGATCCCATGAAATAGAGCAGTACAGTTACTGACTCTGCCATCACCACACAACCAGTTAACAGAATGTCAGACATGCAGTGTTACAAACTTTCATACATGTTCATACATCTTACATGTTATAAAGGAAATTTGCTGTATTTGGCTTATATTTTCCTTTATAGTTTTTCCATTTATAACTTTCCGATGCTTAACGAGAATAAAAAATCTGCAGTTTATGAAATAAACGGCAAAATGGTAAAAAAGCTGTGATGGGCACTTTTGACTGGTGGTGTGTGTGTGTGTGTGTATGTATGTATGGTCCCGCTCTTCAATGATCACACCTGGAAAGCTGGTTTTTTGCATTGGCCTACCGATGGTATTGGTTACCTCTGATTGCGTCACAGCAGCGTTTTCGCCCTTTGGTCGGCACAAGTTGATATTTTCATCAGGTTCACGCAACGCTAAAAATTACCCCCATTCCCCACTTTCAAAGGCAAAAAATATCCACCCAGCTTCTGATGCTTGAACTATTTATGGGTTCGTTCATTCGGCTTGTTTAAATACAACAATAATCTACATTCCGCAATAATAAAAGTAATAGACATAAATATGTGGCGGGACTCAAACGGGATGGACAACGGATTAAAAAAACACAGGACTGTGCCTAAAAAGTGAGACTTTACTTTTGGGAGCAGGCGTGCAAAGTTCTTAATTTTCACTTAATATTTTTAGTTCCCATTGATCAGAACACATCATTTACCCATAATATGGAAATTATGCTTTACCATTGGACAGTACATGGGCCCAACCCGTGATACATTTTTTATGCATGTGAAAATTGTACGCTGTGTACAAATGTTTCGTGGCAACGTTAAGAAGTTTGTACTTCCCACATGCAAGGTCACCCATCTTCCCCATTGGTCACTGTGGCAAAGTTTTGTCAATTTAAAGAATGCACATTTTATGCTTTTATTGAAGTTCATCCTCTCCAGCCAGCAGTGCAGTGGAAATCACGCAACGTCTCCTGGTCAATCAGTCAGAAAATCCCACAGAAGGTGGTGTCTGACGGTAAAGACGCATTACAGGAAATGCAGAGGACAGGCATCTGGAAAATGGCAAAACACCGTTTAATTAATCATTAATTATTCAAAACTGCCAGCAGATGTTATTGTTCATAGAAGGAGAATATATAGGACTGATTTTGTTGAGACACCTTTATTAACCACTGAACAATGAAACATTCCTCAATGCTACGTTTCGTTGAACACATTTCATGAGGCAAATCACGGTCAGTACTTCTGGAATCAGCATATTTAAATATATCTGCACTAACAATATCAGCGATTATTTTTAATAGTCTAGTGAAAGTAATCAGCACAAAATAGTCTTGTACGTATATTATTTATTTATGCATCACCCAACAAAGTCATCGTCAGTTTGCTTCAGTTTACACATAGTGCTTGTGGTGGGGAGTGGGGGGGCAAAACATATTTCTTAAGGAACATTAAAATGACTTAAAACCTGCTAGTTAATTTGGTGTATTTTTACTATATCAGTCACAAATATGTATTCAAATAGACTTATAGATTTTCTTATCAAAAAGGAGAATATCAAAGATAAACACAGATATAACTTTTTTTAACTCTTTTGGGAAGGACTTGAAAATGAACCCCAACATTGGTATATCGCTGATTTGTGACAAATGACAAATATTTCAGATTGACTATTGCTCCTTTATCAAAGGTTTTTAAGCCTTCATTATATTTCAGGTCGCATATTGTGAAAGGAACACGACCACTGAGAATTATGAACTAGCTCTTTAAAAACAATACAATTTGAAATATTTCGTACATTCAAAATGCTCCAAAAATACAAGAAAACGAGAGTTCTTACAAAAACAGCCACATATAATCTTAAACAAGCACAATTTATCAGTTTTAAATTTACAAAGATAAATGTCTTATGAATAAGAGAAAAAATGAAGATGACATTAATTGATTTTGTTACATGAAAAACACACGACTCTTGCTTGCACCTTAGTTTTATTTTTAAAAGTCTTACACTGAAAGGTTGTTAAAACTATAGCTCAGTCAGAAGTCATTTTGCATAGGATTTCTCATATAAATTGCTTTATTAATTAGTGTGGGTTCAATGTGTGTGTGTACACCCATGTTTATGGCAGATCTTTATGCTTGCATGGTAGAGGTAAGTAGATAGATGCCGACTGAACTCCAGTCCTCAAGAAAAATGGCTAAAGTTCCCATCAAATGCACTTTAACGATGATTCGTCGTCGTCACTATGACGTCAGTACAGACAAGTGCTACAGTAGTATATCTACACTGCGGGTTGGAAGAGCACCTTGGAACCCATGGAAAGTTAATCCACCTGCCAGGTTACACGTGGGGAAACCTTATGGAAAGTGATCTGCATTTCTGTATGGCAGAGGTGCACACATACATTGACATGCACGCCAATCCCATCGGAAGCATCCTGTAAGGAAATTAACCTTCAAAGACGCACATGTGCATGCAGAGGGTCCCAGGCAGACTGTCCAATTGCACCACGCAACACCATATGGGGTCACCAGCTGCTAGCTGGCTTTTTGTGAGCTTATGCAAATACTGTAAGATTATACAGACCACACTGTGATACAAAAAGGAGCTTCTTGTGGTCTTCCATCCGTGTGTGTTTCTTACGAGGTCAGGGGTTAAAATTCTAGAGCCCTTATTCAGGAAACTCCGAACGGGTCACAAAAGAGAGGAGAGAATGTACAGGATAATCTCATACATTCCAAAAGGTAGCAAAACATGCCATAGAATCATGCAATACTTGCAGGGCCTCCAATATTCATCATACAGACAGAAAAAGACGATCATTCCTAATTCCAAATATGACTTCAAGTGTGGAAAAAAAAAAATCACAAATATTATTATTCTACTCTCTTAAAAATTGATAAAAAGATCCATTTGGAAAGCTGCCTATGTACTGTCACTGAACCAATTATTATTTATGCTGATAAAACAGTAAGAACTTATATATCCTACCTCTTATTATTTTCCATTGAGACAGAGTTAAATTCAAGCCTTTTGAGTCTTGGTCAGTAATACAGGTTAGTGTGTTCCCTGTAAAAGTTGTTCCATATTCATAGTAACATGGAAGCTTTTGGTACGTACTACAAATAAAGGAAAATCTGTCATAAACTATACACTGATTTTATATTTTTTTTTGGGGGGGGGGGTGTGGTCCCACTGAAGCATGTCTTTAGATATGGACACAAACTCTATGTGGCGAAAAACTCTCTAAAGTATGATGGACGCATATCCAGTGAGAAAGTGAGGGTGATTCGATGCAGAGCATGGGGACAGACAGAAAAACAAAGAGTGACGGAGGAGAGAGGACAGGAAAGGTGGAGCGGAAGGAGCCCGGAGACCGACGGCTACGGGCTGTAGACGTTCTGCTGGCGGCGTTTGGCAGACCTCATCTTCTCGAAGCGCGACTCCATCTCCTCCAGGACCTTGGGCGTGTACCTGACCACCAGCTTGACGGTGCTGTGGGCTGCCTTGAGGAGCTCCACGGCCTTCTCGTGGTGCTCGCCCTCCACGCTCTGGGGGGGACACGGGCCGCGCGTCACGCCAAGTGCTGAGCTGCTCTTTCGGAGGATTATGTAGAGGTTTAGCGCCCTGCGGCGGATCTGCCATAATAACCTTCTGAAATTTGGCATTCGGGCAGGATTCCCAAGCTCATCCCTGCTTATCCTTGCAATAAAGGCATGTACATACCGAGGTCAAGATACCCAGATACCCATAACATCATAATAATAATACTTATTATTATTATGAATAATAATTATAATATGACCAAACACTACTCTGTAATAAACTATACACCGATCATATGTGTTGTTGTTTTTTTTTTTGAAGTTAAGCGCATGAGGGGAACACTTGTGCTCCCTCAGTATTGATAAACCATATGGACTTTTGCTGGGGGGGGGGGGCATTGAAGCATGTTTTGAGACACCACGATGATTATCAAGTTAATTGTGGTAATCAGAAGGTAAGAGACCTTGTAATAAACTTGTTATCCATCTGAAATTCAGTAATGGCAGTATCATACTATAAAATGTGGATTCTGTTTTGCTATTCATTAGTTCATTTTACTTTATGACTTTTGTGTTAACTTTGTTTTGGCTGTGTTACAGATGGTGTGGTGCTGTGGACAATGTCACTGGTACCTCTCTGTGTTCCTGGGATCATCTCAAGCTCCCTCTTTTGCCACCACTTGAACTGCACGTTTGCATGGGGCCCTCAAGGTTTGGCCCCAGATGGGCACAAAGAGCCACTACACTAAATGTTAAATAAAGGCTTTCTAATTAGCTAACTAGTCTTCAGATTCCATTTGCTATTAACTCCATTTTTGAAAGATCTGGGGCAGTTTTAATTGTAACCTGGTTGGAATAAAAGATTCAATGAGATATAGCTGGTATGACGAGAAATAAAATGTATTTGCTATAATACAACAGGGCTGCATGCTATTGGAAAAATTTCTAATATCGCGATGTGATTTTGTTGCAGTGGATATTGGAATAGATATAAAGCAAGAAAGGAGTTCAAAATAGAGCTGTCACAATTACGGTTTAAGTTAAAGTCCATTACTCAATTATTTAAAAGCATTGATTAAATTTTTCTTTCTCAATTACTCTGGAATATAGCAGAAGGAAGATGGCGCATTGCGGATGAGGGTTCAAATAAAAAACGAAAGCATCAGTTGTGTGGAAACCATCTGTCAACAGTGAACACTCAACCAATCCACGCAGCCAAACCACAGATGCGTAATTTAAAATTCACTGGCACATCCAATCAGATTTGTGCGATAGGCATTGGCTGGCGTAAATCGCAGAGTGCTCTGTGTGCTTGATCATAGTATTAATTTAGACCTATACTTGATACAGGGTCGTGATTGAGCTGACATGGTAAAAATTGGGTCGCAGTGCAAAAAAGAACTAAGAACTACAGTAATATTACATTATATTATATATTATATATAAAGAATTACTCGATGAATCATTAGAATACGTGGTAGATTACTTGATTACTGATAAAACCAATAGTGTCAGCCGAAGTTCACAATAAATAAACGTATGAAAAACCTGTCTAGGAATGATTTAACCATCAAGGATGAAAATGATCATGACTGACATAGAGTGCAGAGTTCATACAAAAGCAGTGGCAGTAAACTATACTGATTTTTTTTTAAACATATCCTAGATAATCTTGATAAGGAACAATCATTAAAATGGTAAACGCTTGCTAAGTTTTGTTTGCTATTACAGAGTAAAAATGTTTTAATGAAACTGACCCCCCCACTGCACTGCAAACAGTATAAAAAGCCTGATCTCAACCCGGCTGACTATCGCGATCCTTGCGATGTGAGAACTTCATGTGCATAACATGTGATGTTGGAATTAATATCGCACCTTACCCAGCCCAGAGCAAAATACCCCGCCTTGTGTTGTGATGATGTCCTTCAGCAGCAGTACCAGTTTTTATGCTTGTGGAAAACCAACACAAATAGAACAGTACTCTTTGAAGTACCAGAAGTATGGTACCTTGTGCAGTGGAGAATTGTCCTTACAAACCAGGCGTGACTGTGTATGTCACATGACCCTTGCGCTCACCACTCCGTTGACGGACAGCAGCTGGTCCCCCCTCTTCAGGCCTCCCTGCCGGTCGGCGACACCCCCGGGGATGATGCGTGAGATGTAAATGGGTGAACTCTGCTCCTTGCCCCCCATGATGTTGAAACCCAGGCCCTCCTCCGTCTTGGGCAGCTCGACGACGCGGGGGTGGGAGTGTCCCTCGCTGGCCGCGAATGCTGCCACAGTGGCCTGCCGCGAGTACATCCAAGCACGATCAATATCACCCGCAGCCATTTGACCGCCCTCCCATTAACATAAAAGGACTTCTAATGAACCCGGAAACCTGCAGCTGATGGTAAATTGAAAACGCTAGATTTCCTTGGTAGTATGAAGTTACACCTCTGCATGGCTCAGCCCTTCCATCATTTGTCAACCACTGCAGTCTTGTTTGATCAGAGTTAGAGTACAGGAAGCATCCCGCTATCACATCCAGTCTTAATAGCCCATAAGTGACCGCCAGTTCTTAAATATCACTATGGTCCTTAGTGGGAAGGCATACTGAAGATCACTGGGATCAGCAGAGCCGTTCCCAGTCTTCCCCGCCTAAGTGGAAGGCGGTGACCACAGACATGGTGGTTTCGGTTTGTTTTTCTGCTGAAGAGCACCGGGTTCGAAGCAGGAAACCAAACTTAGCGATGCAAACGGATTAGCTGACTCAGTCAACGGTATGCGGACTTTAAATTTATATTACCATTTTAAAATGGCAGGCAGGAGTCTGTCTTAGAAACTTTTCGAAATACCAGCTCCCATAAAAAAAAAAAAAAAAAAAGTGTCGTGGCGGCTAGGAGAACATCTCAGAGAGAACCCTGGACGCCCTTCTGCTTTTTATACTCCTGCTTGTGCCGCTGGCCTGGCTCAGCCCCTCTCCGCTGATGCTCGGAACGGAGCCCACACAGGCCAAGGACGAAGTGCGGGGGAGGCCCTCCCCGGGGTAAGTTTAGAACAGAGAGGTGTGATGTGCTGACATGCCAGCAGGTGGGACTGCACTGGCTCCAGCTACCAAAACAGCCGCTCAGGGGTAAAACGGACAAAAAAACAAAAAAACAAAACAGATGTTCTTCAACGGGTCGGAAGCCAGGAGCCCATGTAGGAAGATGAAGGATGCATCCAGTGTGGTGGGCACGATTTGCTCGATGCCCGGAAACCCGCTGGTCATTTATGAGACTGGCAAGAACAAATAAAAATGAAAAGAAAACCTTTGCTATCAGAGTCAAGACCCTTCTGCTTACCTTGGCAGTGGCATTGGCGCGGACTTCTGGGGTGCTGTTGATGTCCACCGTCTCATAAACGTGTTCGTACACCTAGGAAAGGGACAGGCAGCTGGCTTCAGGCCTGGACACGATCCAAGGGAAGTTTTGTGCAAATTCATGCTCATGAATAACTCAGTGTGACAGTGCTGCAGTTTAATGCAGTTTCAGGGTCCACATTTCACTCACTAAACACAAACCCCGGAGTTCATCACAGATCAACAAAATCAAATTGCTTAACATTTAAATACCAGCCGATGACCTAACTGCTGCATTTACGATATTTACATTTGTTTAGCAGAGATGTTTATACAAAGTGACATGCATTTTGAGAAAGCAGCGTCAGTCAGTTCCTGCAGCAACTGGAGGTTAAGGACCTTGCTCAGGAGCCCATCAGTGACATCACTCTAGGATTTGATCTGATGACCTTCTGATCACAGGCACAGCATACTAACCCACTGTGCCGTACACCATCCCAAAATAAATGTAATAAATACATTTATTTAAATTATATATAAAGATTTAAACAAGGAATGCTTTCTGACATGCAGCTGTAATCATATCAGTTTTAGTTCATATTTTAATAACAAAATCAGATAAACCAAATCATTGTTAGACAGGGAACCTGATAAAATTCCCAGCCCCGCGGAAAGGCTTCAGCTGTGGAGAGCGGCAGCAGAGCTCTGGCAGGAAAACCCCACCACAGACGCCCTTGGAACTGGAAGTATTGCATATTCATCACAGCAGGGCAGCGAACTAGAAGAGACCTGCCTTTGCCGCAAGTTTTCAGCCCTTCGAAACGTCTACCTCCCACTAAAACCACATTTATTCATTTAAAAACACATTTCCTCGACATCCCAAGGGCGGAGGGGAGAAATTAACTTTCCCTTTTAGGAACAGTCACTAAAAGACTACAGACATAGCTACCTGAATTTAATAATATGCTTTTTGAAACATATTCTGCAAAAAAGATAAATACAACACAGTATATATAGCTATTACAACACACATTCAGGCAAGTTTATCAGGTAAACCTGCTTGTTAACGTGAACAACCTTCTCCTCTGTAAAGCAAATCATATGCTAGCAACTGAATATATACAGAAGCAGGAGGGTCAGGAAGTTTAGTTATTGTTTGTGTAAACATTGAAATGGCTATGAAGTGTGATACAAGTGATTTAAAATGAGATGTGATTATTGTTGTCAGATGTGGCAGTTCCAGCATCTTAGAAACAAACTCCTTCTTGGGATTTTCACACACTAGTGTTGAATACAGTCATTAAAGGGAGGTCGCAAATGCAGCACTACAACAGTGGTGTGCAAAACAGCTTCTCTGAAAGAGTTATACTGTAGGTGGGTCCAAACCAGTACTAGTGGCTACTAGCTAGGTACACCTACAGTAGTAAAGTGGGTACTAGGTACTAACCAGTACAAGTTAGATATGCTTAATAGTGGGTTCTACCCAGTATTAGTTAGGTATACCTAATAAAGTGGGTCCTACGCAGTACTATCGAGATGAACCTAATAAAGTTTGTAATAAAATGGGTAGCTGGTACTACTTCCGTACAAACCCCCCCCCCACAGTTCGCCACACATGTAAACAGTGAATTATTTGTAAACAGTGTGAAATACAGTTTTACTGCTGCTGTTACTTTTTAAAGTAATAATTCCCTAAATCTTGATGCTACTGAAGTCCATAGGAAACACGCACTCAGTGCTCTCAAGGCGCAGAATCCCCCCTTATGTGCAGCAAAAGGGGGGAGGGATTATAGATCTTTGGTGGGAATGCAATAAAATTAAAATAAAAACTATTTAGTCATGCCATTTTTAGGGGAGACAGGTTCCCTCTTTCTCTTGACAAACACTGCTTGCGAGTCTAATTACAACCTTTGTTTTCCCAAGATGCCAACTTTGATTTTGCGATCTCAAGATCTCAAGTTGACTCTGATTGAGAAAACAACTTTGGGTCTGTTGAGATCACGAGAAAAATATGCCATGATCTCGACACAAGACAGAAGATGATACTGATGGATGTCCTCTATGGATCTCTGTACGATGCAGACTTCAGTGAAAACATACAGACAAAGCAGTTTTGAGTTCACGTGAACGTGACATGTTAAAAGTTCCTTGCTTTAAGTGATCCTTAGGTAATAAATGAAAAGCAATATTATATTTGTCTCTGATCCGAAAAATTACCTGATCTGTGGCTGAAAACCACGATACGGCCCGAGCTGTGAGTTATGTGATCTGTTAGCTAGGTGTGCCTAATGAAACAGATCGTACCCAGTACTAGCTAGATCAGGGGTCACCAACTCCGGTCCTGGAGAGCTACAGTACTATCCAGTAAGTTTTCTATCCTACCTGGCTTCTGATGAGCCACACCTGCTCCTGGTATTTACCTGAGAACTAGTGTGGCTCATCAGAAGCTGGGTATGATAGAAAACTTACTGGGTAGTAGCTCTCCAGGACCGGAGTTGGTGACCCCTGAGCTAGATGTACCTAATACAGTTGCTACTGAGTGTATTTCCCTTTATTGCCAGATAGTAATATGCCCCACTAGATATTTGAAACAAGATATGACACGATCCAAGTTAACTACACCTGCCTTCGATGAACTAACATAAAGACACTTCTAAAATGTCTTTTTCAAATGTGCGCTCAAAGACGCCATCCGGCAAAACGCTTAAATCAGGTTCCGTGCCTGCTGGAAAAAAATCATCCGAGCTCAGTCGATTGGCATTCACGCCTGGGTAGGTGATATTTGTTCACGGATGTCTGCTCGCTGACACGCCGCAGATGTAGCACCCAGCTACATTCCCTGTATTTTTATCTACAAAACAGGCATTCGGAAGGTCCAAAAATAAGGCCAGCTCAGCGTTTGGCAGCTCACTTCCCTTCGAGAAAGGCAGCTGTGAGAACCGCCTTCTATATTTATATCTGGAGCTCATGCAGCGTCACATGTTTGGAGCGCGGGAGGATCTGGAGCGGCTTCGCTCTCCGGTTCAGCCCACCTCTCTCACGGCATTGCAGAACTCGCTTTGGAGCACCTTCTTCAACGCCTGCAGCTTCTGCGGGGGCAGTTCCCCTGTCCTCTGCAGCTTCTCCAGCAGCTCGACGGCCCGCGAGATATCTGTGACACACACAAGACAAATATTTTATACATCACCACCCAAGCTATTTTAACTCCTCCCTCTATTCACTTCTTGAGCGTGACCCGTTCACTTCTCAGGCAACCCACTGATTTTTGCCTGTTCCGTGGCATTAAATTCTGCACGACGTAGCCCCCAAACAATCTCAATTTAGTTCGAATTTTTTAAAAATGTTATTACAGTTTTAATAGAAGCTAATAATCACCAAATACTTCACAAACTAATAAATATTAAATTGTTCTTTTTATCCCCTGCAAGCAGGGCCTCCAACTTACAGGGAATAATTTGGGGGTTGGTGGCAGGATTGGCACTGCAGCCACTGGAAAAAACCTCACACTGGTCCATTCGGACTAGTGTGGTGCTGAGGTATCACCCACTGCATGGCTGCACTCAGGTTCTCATCCCTGAGGTGGTTTGTCGTGTGGTGGGTGCGGCGACGCACTGGAATCAGCGTGCGCTCCTTACGCACTGGAATCAGCGTGCGCTCCTTACGCACTGGAATCAGCGTGCGCTCCTTACGCACTGGAATCAGCATGCGCTCCTTACCTCCTCCTCTTTTTATCGATCCACATATGACATCCGATAGGACAGGAGAAAGTTTCTTTTTTTAATGACTGCAGTTAGCAAGAAACTGTCCAGTTATATCAAATCCAGATTTGCATAATTGCAGATGTATAAATTATGGTCTGGGACCATTATGCAGACATGCTAATATCCAGGACTATGCTGTATAGGACCAAAGGGGAGGATCATATTTGACATTCATGTGTTTTAAACTCAGCCAATAGATTAAACATAAATGCCATATAATACTGTTAATGTCCACAGCTACTTGGAGACATCGAAATACATGTTGTTACATACCAAATTCACAAATACAGGATGTCAAGAATTATTCGGCCTAGTGCGGGTACAATACGTCGACATAATTGACACAATTGATTATGCAAGTATGTTGATCAATGTGAGGTATGTGTGGTAATGCATCACATTATCTTAAACTTTAACGAGGGCAGGATGATCTAATAATGGAGACCCTCTGTCTAAAACACTGCAGACATCAAAAGTCTGAATATTTTAAGGAAAAAGCAAACAATAGGTTAGGGGTACACGAATATCTACCGAAGGTGGAACTTGCTGGTGCAGATTAGTGGAATGACATTATGTTGGTTTTTTATTCTGTGCAAAACGATGATCCATCTGCGAATCAGATTTAATAATAAAATATGAACATGTCACACTGAAACCTCTTATAAGTGGTGAATGAGCCAACAGAATCCCTCGTCCTCCACTACGGAACATGGCTGATTGTTTAGCGTAATAATCTCTATTGTTTTAGTAGTTGTGTATTTAGTTCTGGTGCAAACTTTGAATATTAATAAAGTTTAAATATCGGCCAGCAACATCTGCCAAGATTGACACATTCAGCCAAAGCCGATATCTTGCTTTTTAACGAATATCGGCCTGTGTTCAAGTATTACTTAAACTGATCTTTGCACTAATGTTTCACTGCTAATAGATCTTATCTCTGTGTATTTGATTCAGGTTGAAATTGCACTGGTTTGTTTTTTAATATCTGCAGTTTTATTTGAAGTTTTAATCTGATCTGGTTCTTTGTATGGATATCCAATTGAAGCTGCACAAGATATTGCACAAACTTCGTTGTGGTGTGATCTTGGACAGCATGATACATATTTCCCTGATCTAGAAGCGTCCACTATAAGCGGACAGGCCGCGCTAGCAGTGCACGCACGCACGCATCACAGGGGCATGGTGGTGGACCCCCGTGAATGGATCCCAGAGCGCTATTTTGAGAAGCCGGCAGTCATGTGATCTCACTGAGAGGCCAATCAGTGTTCAACGCTCATAGGACACGTGACAGCAATGGTCGTGACTCTCAGCACCGGATTACAAATCCATCTCGCGTCCATCATACTCCGGGGCTAATGCATAAGGAAAATGCATTAACTTTGTGCAAATAACTACTGCCAATACATTGCATGTTCCGCATATTCTTAGACGTTGAAAAAATAATCAGTTTTACCTATTTACCTTGGGCTATATGCAGCCCAAATATTACATTACAGAATTTAACTACCTGGATGCTATTATAAAATATATAATAAATATATAACAAATTATTACAATAAATACATTTATACAATACAAACATTACTTACGTCGTCGACATAAACTGACAATAATTACAGGCAATTAAGCTGAGTTCACCTTAGTCCGTTAGATAAAAAAAATGAATATGGTAATTAAATGCATGTATATAGAGTATACGTATGAATATATAATTCGGCGAACACTTGGTATGTGATTTGTAGAGTGAACAAACAAAACGAGACAATCGGAATGCTACCATCAAAACACATCCGAAACCTGTAATTTAGTTTTACCAGACCAGTGACAACTGCCTGAAAGTATCCGAAGCCACATTAAATATTTAATGCCTTTCTAAGCTGTTATCTGGAAAAGCGCCGTCGAGACATTGTAACAGAAACTGCTTTTATCTTAAAAACAAAAGGATTTTGCTACATCGCTTCGCAGTTGTCTGCTTTTGATAAGCTGTCAGGAGCAATCGGATCCGGCATTTTACAATGGAAAGAATGCTTCCCGACTGTTTTTCACATAATCGCTTTTTATTAATTGCGTTTCGATTTTTACCTCTTTCCAGCCTAACCGGTTCGCCCATCGAAGCCATGCTTTGTGGTGTCGGCTTGCTGGGTTTTCGCTCGTAAATCGGTTCCGTTTCGACGCGAAATCCGGAGCCTGAGCCCTACACCCGGGACATCTTTGTCAAAGCGCCGCACTTGGATCCTTAGACATGGTGACACTCGTACATCCACCGCACTCCCCTCTGCTGGTAGGAGTCCATTGCTGGAAGCAGAAATATAGCGACCGGTATTGGTGCACAGGCCCTGAAATAGCACACAGCTCAAATAAAACCTATTATTATTTATTTATTATATTTATCTTTTATAGTCGATTTGTCAGGAAGCGGGTTTATTGTCATGCAAATGAATTGTATCATAGAGTGGTCACAAACGGAAAGCCAAATATTCTCTACCACATTTCAAGCTTTATTTGTGCTTAATTATCTGAACTGTTGCGAGGATTGCGGCCTGAATTTGTGTATGGAGAATAAATGGAAAGTTGTCATAAACGTAGTGATCAAAGCGAAATGGTAAGTGTAAAGAAGTACAAACCAAAAACTGCAGGTCGATTGCTGGAATTTCATATTCTCATAACTGGTGAATATATCTCTGGCATTACATACATGGGGATACTGGTGTGGGTGGCCTATCTGCACCAGGAAGCTGATTATCATCTCAGTAAGGCCCTGTTTTTGAGTTGTGATTTGTTTCGCACTGAAGTTGTCTGAGATAACTTACCTGAAGAGATAATCTCAGATCATTACCCCCATATGACAAAACAGGTACTGGTCTTTATCATGTACAGTGTGTCCCCTTAATTCAGTGTTTCTTTGTTTTTGTCTTTTACCTTATGGGTAATAATATCAGTTCTTAGTGCCTTAAAATATCAAGACCGTATATTGTTCTAAATCAAACATCCTAATTGTTAAAAATATTGATTTCTCAATCAATAAATTTTAATGTAATTCCAGCAATTCACTTTCAGTGATAGCTTAATCGCAGTACAGTAGAACAATCTTATGCATTTGTAATAATATACAGGTGTTTATTATTGTAAATATATATAATAGTGAAATGAATGCTATATTTACCGACTATATTTTAAATTATTTTTAATAAATCCACAAGACCTTGCTCAGGATAAGTGGTTGGGAGATGGATGGATTTTTTTTATAAATGTATTATTATTTATAACAATATTATGGAAGTATACTACTGAATGCATTTACTGATTTATGAGATGTATATATACATATTTATACCTTCTATTCTGTCACCTTATCATTCTAAGATACAGAATTGTATATTTACCTTAGGCTAAGTATTTTGTGTATGTTTGAATTAGCGAGTTAATATTATAGGCTAATGGCTGAAACCTTTTTTTGTACCTCTTAATATTGCCATTCCATATCAAGGTAAAATTAGTCTGGCATTAAGAGATTTATAAACCTACAGGTGTTAAGGCTTTGGGCAGTTGATTATATGCAGGCTTGTGTATTATTGCAAAAAGCTGCCACTGAACAGGAAAGATGAAAGATAACTGAATGTTTTTGACTCGGAGTCGGCAAACACAGCCAGTGTCGACCTGCTGTAGGTCATGTTGAGGTTTTGGCACCAGTCTTAGTTGTTGGATTCTAGATCAAGGTATAGGACATCAGTCGCTTCAGCAAAAATAGCCAGGCTTATAATGACAATATTAAAGCATCTGCTCGGAAGATAAAATGACTCTTTACTGATATATGCCTCTGGTGAAGTCCTTTTAACATGCCACTGTAATTTTCTCAATATCTGTTGAAGGTCTGTGCGTAATTTCTACTAACTGGATTCACCAGAACAACCTGTGCGATTCCTTATGCATAAGAACCACACCTCAGCTCAGTCATTCGATTGACAGTCTTGGTCCTCAGTCATCTTAATCTCATTCAGCATCTGTGAAGCCAGTAGTTCATTGGCTATCGTTCCTTTGTCGGTTGAGGGCAGATTACAAGCGACTATTAACAAGGAAATGTGTTATGTAATGGTCAGTGTGTTTCTCGTGTTTGTGAGTGAGTAACAGTGCAGATACTGGCCCGGCCCGGCCCGGCCCGTCACCGGTTTGTCCCCTTTGCCGTGCCAGCATAAATGTGCAAAGTCCAAAATTGAAATCTCAAACTTTCTTGACATTGGTTTTGTTTTCAGTTGCCTATAGTCATTTTTATTTCTTCAAATATTTCAATTTAATATTGCAAACAACTTCACAACATACAAAATGAATTATATTAATCCAGAACATGTCAATGAATAAATTTAATATTTTTATATATATATTTATATATATATATTCTTTTTTTCAACATGGGGATAAAAAAATAAAACAGCAAAGCTTTGACAACAGCACCTTGACATAGTATGTAATTCCAACATTACCTTGAGAAGTTTGGAGCAGTAAACAGATATAGTACCGAGAAGAGGAAAGACCATTTACTGTTGAAAATGTAAATGGAATGTTTTGGTCAGAATTTTATACTTTTCCCCCCCGAAGTGGACAGTTTCTAAATTCACAATTGAAGCAGCATGCAGATTATTTTTTATTTAACCCTTCCTCACTTTCCATTTCCTTATTTCTCAAATTCTTGGCAACGTAAACAAACCACGATGTCTTGAGGAATGTAATATAGTAATTTAAATTGTGCGCGAATGACTGATTAGTTATTTTAATCGTTTACAAGGTCATGAATATGTTCAATAAATAGACTGTAGTATCACTTTTACTGTATAAACTTCATCTTTTTTTTTTCTTTTTTTTACATGCAGTCCATAAAATTTTCATCTGACGGAATAATTTACCCTGTTATGTATATACACAAATAGATATTTTTATTTTCTTTTTTTTAAACTCTCCATAAAATCTATACATTTCGTTCACTATCTCCCCCTCTTAATGGTCAATGTGCATACACAGGAAGTGTCTATCCGTATGAATCGCCAGCCGATTTTTTTTTTGCTATCCATGGTGAGCGCGCGCACGAACGACTGGGTTGTCCGGCATTGCGAGTTGTAGTGCCGCTTGTCTATCCCCCGGCAGCCGTCCTTTGTGTAGCCCATGGGGTTGCATTTGGTCTCGTAAAAGTATTGCTTCAACTGCCCCTTGGGCACCGGCACTTTCTCGAGGACTGTGACCGTCTGCCCAGACATGTCTATGGCTGTCTTTTTGTCTACGGCGGTCACCCACTGGCTTGTACTGTCACAGACGCTGAGCTCGCCGCGCCGCGCCGGGTCCGAGTGCCTGCGCACCCTCATCGACATGTTGGCCGCCTCCAGGTAATTTTTGTATTCCTCCAAAAGAAAGAGCAATGGTGGTTCCAAAGGCACTTGATTGCTGATCACCACTCGGGACGCGAACACGTCGACGTCTTTGGAATCCGCCGCCGCCTCTTCTGCCGCCCGGCTCTCTGGGTCAGGCCCGCGGCCGCCGGCCCCCTGCGGCCCCCCCTCCGCCTCCAGCAGCTCCTCGATCACCTGCTCGAAGGTGTCCGTCAGAGACGGCAGCCCCCTGCGCTGGGCGCCGCCCCCGCTCTCTGGAGTCCCGTGGCTCCATGCCACCGCGTCGCTCAGGTAACCCTCGGCACCCTGCCCCCTTGTCCCGGGGGCATCTTTCATGGGGGCGGCTTTCATGCAACTGAAGTATGAAATAACCATGGTAAGGAACAGGATGGTCATCACTCTTCTCACCTGGTGGAACTGGACACAGAAGGGAAGGGGTGGAAAAAGAAGAAAAACAGGGAGATCCTTAGTATGTTTCACTGCACTTTGAAGCGGAAACCTGCTGGATTGGCTGACTAGGCTAGGAAACACTGGCTAACCCTCCTGCGCAGTGTCTTCTGTAGGCGCAGAGAACTAACTATCCCTGGATCACTTGCTAATGGGTCGGAGCTCAGACCCTGATTGTTTACACAGCCGAATAATGTGACCCTCTCCTGAGAAACCATTACCTGCTTGCCACACCTGTTACGTCTCCACCGGTAGCTAAATATGGCAACGTCTGAGGCATCATTAGAGGAAGTGTAAGGAGGGCTTTCTGAGACCATCTCCCCCTCCACTGCGCCCACAGCTCAGATTAGGCCGTTGTCCTGTGATGCACCACATTTCCATGGCCCATAACAACCCCCCCCCCCCCACTCCCCGCCCCGTTCCCCATTCACTGACTGCAACACTTATTCATGCGATGTACTATACCAAGCGCGGAACAGAATTATTCTTAGCGTTGTTACTCCTATTACAAAACAGTCAGTATTGATGCTAGAGAAAGGTTATTTTCTATAAACTACCAGGAAAATTCTGCACTGCGAGTGGGTGGTTCTCAGAAGGTTAGACCTTAGCTTTCCGTAAATCGTGAGCAGGAGGGCTACCCAGCTTATACACTATATATATATATATATATAGAGTGCATTTCCCGATGTACCAAATCCGTACACCTCCCCCCCCCAAGAAAAAAAAACTTTTAAACTCTCGCTGGGAGCTAAAAGAGGGAAAACAAAAACTTCTGCCACAACACTACCTCACGAAACATTGTTTTTTTTTTTTTGCAGCTTGCGTTAGCTGCCGTACATCTTGTAAGCAGGTTACAAAAGATGAGGCATATATAAAAATACTCGCATAGTACTTTTGGTCGAACACAGGAAGTTTAACACAGGCTGCAGCCTTCTGACTCACAGCAAGCCGTAAACAGGGCCACATCCGCAAAAGGCCCCCATAAATCACACCCCTGGAGTGCTGTTTTTTTTGGGGGAGGCATTTTAAGATAAGCAAATCTCTCTTATCGGCCCTTGCTATACATAGATGGACCGGCACCAGAATAGATTTAGTGCGAATCAGCCCTCTAAAGGCAGGGAGAGAATACCATGGAAAGGGGGGGAATGGAGAAACACAGACTTAAAAAGCATTTGTTGCATTCTTAATTGGTGTCTGGGGTTGCAGCGATAATTTGCCAATGCTGCAAAGACTTACCATGGAGATACCGTGTCTATAAATAGGTGAGCTGGGAGTCCCATGGTCTCAGTTCAGAATGTTATGCATCCCATTAACGAGCTGCTACACTTCAGCTCCGGCTCAATGGCAGGGCGCTCTCACACAGAGGCCTCCTTCCCAGCCAGCAACACCCACAGCCGGGCGGCCGGACCGGGGACACCAGACCGTGAAAGCCGGGAGAACGGGTTAAAGCCCCCGGCCTCTGAAGATGTGCCCCCCACCCAACACGACTCATGGCACCTGACACATAAACAAGGTGCATTTTCTTACAGATACAAATCATCATTTACAGGCAAAGCCAATCAAAATACTGTCCCGTTTATTGCTATGATTACGATCGTCATTGTATACCATACATAAGCATCAGTCATTAAAAAACGAGCACTGCTGCATGTTAAATTTAAAAGCCATACATAATTACATAAATATCACTTAATGGTATCCCAGTAAATGCAAAAGTCTTACACACGATCTGCCATGGTCTTGGCCCTTAAAATTCTTTGTTCCTAATTCCTTGTTCTACTTGTTTCTAAGTACAGCTGGCTGTGCCTTAGTATCACATAGGAGTAAAATAACAACAACAACAACAACAATAATAATAATAATATAATAATAATAATAATAATAATAATAATAATAATAATAATACGACACTGTGTTTATCAGGGGCATGGGGCCATTTCCTTAACCAGACGACAGCGCAGATGATTTCCAGCTTAGGCCAAGGAGATGCTGTGGACGCACAAAGCCCCTGGGGGGGGAGATGGAGGGGGAGCAAACAGCTTTGAGCTTTCTTTGTCTGCGTGTCGCGGCGGTGCCCCCCGAGGCACCGTTCCGTGGCGGCAAGGCGCACTCTTTCCTGTGAAAAATCACTAGAGAAAGCTGCGCTGAATAGCACCATTTGACTCCTTAACAAGCTTGCTGATGCCACCAGCCCAAACCTCCGGGGGGGGGGGGGGGGGCGAGACAGCAGGCGGGCCCATCTCACGGCCAACCACGCAATTACTTGCCACTCTTTCGAAGCTTCTCTCTCCGGGAACAACAAATTATTACTTTTTTTTCTAACTTGGCTATTTCCTGTTTCCATTAGGAGAATCAATAAGGTTTATGCTCCCAGTCAGCACCCTGTTAAATCACAATCAAACCAATGAGTCACTTTATTGCAGAGAGACTGCGTGCACTAATTACAGCCCTCTGCCCAATTCAGACAACGAAATCCCGCTGTAACTGTATATCTGTGCATCTAAAGTATTAAATTTTGCATCCTCACTATGGTATTGGATTTCACGGTCTGTTGGTAAATGCACACAATCGCTTGCGTGCATGAGTACACGTATTTCAAATAACAGATGGATTTCCTCTAGGTATGCAGTACTAATAATCACTTTATACTAGCTGAAGCAGTATTCTGGTATGCTTAAATCGGTCCGTAATTAAAGTCATTTGAACCCTGAGCACTTTAAATCTGGTTTTTATATCATCCACAAATAACATCCAAGTTTATTTTGGGGAGCAAATCAACATCAATTAAAGCACCGACATTATGTCAATATGAGCCTGTTAATGTAGCCCTTCCGGCCAGCAAAGAGCTGACCCCTAACTGGAAGTATTTATTGCGAATTGTGATTTACTTTGAGGCCACCTAATGATTTTCTGGTAAATCTAATGTCCGGCCAAAGCTAGCAAGAGATTTACAGGAAGCAGGATCATCTCTGAGCAGCATTCATTGCCGCACACTCACAACGTCTTCCGTGTTTTCTCTTATTTTTCTAAAGAGAAACTTCCAGGTCCTATGTTTCTCACTAGTGATTCAGGTAAGTTCAGATGACAGTCTGGAGCCTCGATTCAGGACCCCAGACCACCAGCTCTGTCCAAACATCCACTGCAAACTTCCAGGCAGTCCAAACAGTCGCGGCATGTAGACTCACTGAACACACCAATAATAGAATGAGGTGAGCGAGATTTTATTTGACAACGCTCGGAAACTTCGAGAAAGGCAACATGGTCTGCTTTTTGAATCGGTTGTTTTAAATGGGGCAGGTAGAGCTGGATAGATGAGTTCACTGTATTTACATGTTCTGAGTGATTCCCCCCCACCTTCACCTGCGTCCTTTGAAACGCAAGTTGTATACTCCGCCAACTAGTGCTTAAAAGTAAACCCATCTGCTGACAGATCTGACATGCATTCTAAACAGTTATGGCACCTACTTCATCAGTCTTAAGGGCAAGGACGCCGAAAACCCCCATCTGTCCCAGAATGCAACTGAAACATGAGGTTAACCCAAATGCAGACGTGCCAAATCAGCGATTTAAGACAGATATTTGCCAAATCGCCAGTTTAAGCTAGCCTTCCTGTAGGGCTTCAGCCAGACATCAGCACATCCCCTTGGGAAGGTTATACTCTCTATAACTGCTACCTCACTAGCTGAATCGTTCACATTCCACAGCAAGCTATAAAAATGGGCCACTGTACAGAGACATACCCACCTGTCTGCCAAAAGGGACACTTATATTTTGCAAGATGGGCCAGACTTTTTTGGGTATAATCCCTGCATTCTTTGTGGGGGAAAAAAAAAACTGACACATGATTTCTCCCATTTCATAAAAAAATTACGAAGTATTACTTAAAAGACATTCCACATTTACACACAGGATAAGATACAGTACTTCTAAGAAGGTTATTAGCAGAAATTACTTAAGATTAAGTAAAAGGCACAAAATGAGCCCCCTTTTTGGGGTATAAAGACTGTTGTAAAATTTCTTTGAACATTCTGTGGTGCAAAACTGATCATATGACAAATTTACAGCTATGCACATGTAGACCGCATAAAGGAAACGAGGGATAAGTGATTTATGGGAGATTTATAGTCTTTGGCAGATGGTTGTAAAGAGAAGTGTTTTAATTGATATTAAACTTTTACATTTACAGTTATTTAGCAGACGCTCTTTTCCAGAGCGACTTACAACCAGAGCTTTAGTAGTCCATGACTGTTCTTCGATCTATAAGACCAAAAATCAACAACTGTCAAGATCAAATTACCACTAAGAACGTTGTATAAAAAAACCTTGTTAGGAAAAAGAGTGCACAGGAAAAAATTGTTAATGGATTTCTTTTTATTTTTTTTATAAAATGAAGAGAGTGGACAGTAAGGGTGATATTAGTCTCCAAGGTACTCCTTGAAGAGGTGTGTCTTCAGACGACGCTTGAAGACAGGAAAGGACTTGGCTGTTCTTATGGCAAGAGGAAGTTCATTCCACCACTGAGGTGCCAACATTGCAAAAAGTCTTGATGCATGCTGTCCTCTTTTAAGTATTGGTGTTTCAAGACGAGTAGCGCTTGATGCTCTGAGAAAATGAGAAGTGACACAATTCTTGATCAATGTTGCCAAGTAAGGAGGGGCTGTTCCAGTCTTGCCCTTAAATGCCAAGTGTTAGGGATTTGAACCTGATGCGGGCAGCCATAGGGAGTCCGAAGAAGAGGTGTGATGTGCGAGAATCTAGAGAATCTTTTCGAAGGAAATGGTAAGGTCAAGAGCCAGTGATGAATTGCCTTTGATGTACAGCAGTTCAGTTTTACTGGTGTTTAGCTTGAGGTGGTGGGATATCATCCATCCAAGAGGAGATATCAGTTAGGCAGTCTGAGAGTCAAGTTGAGACCTGATGACCATCAGAGTTGAGTGTCGTCTGCATAACAATGGTAGGACAGCCCATGTGTAGATACATGGGTTCTCTTGGGAAGGTCATAAGTAGAAGAGAAGGGGTCCTAGGACTGAGCCCTGAGGAACACCAGTGACCAGCCTTCTTGGGGCTGATTGGCAGCCTTGCCATGCCACCTGAAATGACCAGTTATCAAGAGAAGATGCAAACCATTGCCAGACTGTACCTGAAATCCCAAGGCTGGAGAGAGTATCCAGGAGGATCTGGTGGATCTGGTGGTTGACCATGTCAAAGGCTGCAGACAGGTCCAAGAGAATCAGAACCGAGGACAGGTTGGAGGATTTCGCTGCATGAAGTTTTTCAGAGACGGCGAGAGCTGCAGTCTCAGTGGAATGCGCAGCTTTGAATCCAGACTGGCGAGAGATGAATCCAGACCAGAGATGAAATCAGCCTTCTTGATGCAGGATTGGCAGTTCCATAAACCACCATGCACGATTATAGGAGGCTGTGGAGATATGATAGGCTGAGAGGGGTTACTAAGGTTTCTGCCTCTGATGAGGTGTACGTCTTCTTAGTCTGGCAGATATGTGACCAGGTATAGGTGTGAGCTGCATTTTAAAACAAGTAGTGAGGTAAAGAAAAAGAGAAGAGAGAAAGAAGTTGGCACAGTCCTGCATAGAAAGTGTTGGCAGTCTAAAGAGCAAGCTAAAGTAAGCAAGTCTAAGTACACAGCAAAGTTGCGGAGTTCAGTTGAACAACAGTTGAATCTAAGGGTGTTTTAACTTATAGTCCTCTTTAAAGGAACTGAACTCAGAACTCTAGATCTGGTCCCAAAAGTGGACCAACAGAAACGGAAATCAGTTCTTTTTGTGTTCACAATGCGAGTTCATTTGAAAGGGGACTCAGTTCTCTTTCTGGTTTACTTCAGCTCAGATGGGGCCTCAGTCCTTTTTCTATTCATACTCCAAGGTCTTATGGAGCTCTCAGACCTTTACTGCTTTGGATTCTGGGTAGTTTTCACTTCAAACAAGATGGCTGCTGCAATACATGTCATCATGTGGTGGGTCCTGAAAAAAGCCCACAGACACAGGGAAAACCGAAATAGAATAATTACTTCTGAACAAAAAAAAAAACACACTTGCAGCCATTATTTTGATTGCAGTGAAACTAACACAACAAACCAATAGCAGTTTAAAGTGCAAGTAAGCAAGTCTAAGTACATAGCAAAGTTGCAGAGCTCAGTTGAATAACAGTTGAATCTAAATCGACAGTATTACACAAAGACAAACACACATACAAACAAGGTCATAATACTTGTATAACACTTTGCAAAATTCTGCAATAAAGGTCTGGTTTTAGAGATTCAGTCACTTTTGCTAGCCATTATTCAACAAATATGCCTAATTCTTTGCACAGGGCTTTAGTTAACGGCTCCAAATCATAATGTCTTGTGCCGTCATGGACACAAAATAACTTTTTAGCATAACGAACAACCTGATGAGGTGGCGATGTATCTTTGTTGTTATAGTATATATGTTGGTATAGTAACAGCAGTGAGAGGCTGAAGCTACAGTAGGACAGGAGCACAGCTTTGGAATTCCGACTCCACCTGCCATTAAATTTGCAGGACATTAAGTTTAACTGCTGTCAGGTGTTTTACTGTGCCTCAGGCATGCAACACACAGGACTGGTAGAACATCTGTGTGCTGGGGGGGGGGGGGGGGGGGGAGAGCATGTAGGCAAACAATGACCCAGGCAGGTCTATCTAGGGGGCCCACAAAAGACTACAACTAGTATTTTTAGAAACAAATTAAATGTCTTTTGATAATTAGTTCAGTTAGATTGAAAAAAATACTTCAAAGGAAAAAATCCATTTTGATGCAAAGCAGAATTTAAAGCTGTTAAGTTATGGTCTTAGGTTCCCGATCATGAACTGAATGTCTGCTCAAGTTTTCATCTGTCCCCTAAAGGCACTATTGGTCTCACTCCACCAATATTTCTGTAATATAAGGTGTACAGTGTATGCACAAATATAAACATTTGTTAAAGGTTTACATTCACGTTATTGCAGTCTGGGAAATATGATTTCTGTCAAGGTTAAAGATCTTTAACATAATATTTAACATAAACACAAAATGTGAACGTCGCCATACCAGAATTTGCACAGTAAAAGTGCGTATCTGGAAAAAACTGATAGCTATGAATAAGTTCTGGTCTTCACTCCTTTTCATGTAAAGCTAATGAAGAAAGGACATATGCTGAAACTAAATGGAGGGTAAATTACAAGCTCTTTCCCACCTAAGACGTCGTCTAGACAAACAGAAGCCATTGCAGACCATTACCTCTGGAGGGCAGTGGTGTTCGGTTTCTGATGACAGACTGGATGTAAGGCTCTGTCCACACGGTTGAGTTTGGGGTGCCAAGGGGGGAAAAAAAAAACTACTAACTAACTATTGCAAAATATCAATATGGCAATGAATAGCATTCATGGACACACTCTGCAGCAAAAATACTACAAAAACTAACACAAAACCAGAACGCATAAATGTTTTAGCAGATTAAAAGACAAATCAATAAATAATGTAAAGAAATAGTAAGCATACATGATGGTTTAGTACAGTGGAACCTTAATTACCATTTTACTACCCTTTGGAACCTTTACGCTACCCTTCCAGTGATTTCCAAAGGCAGCACATTTTGTCTTTAAAACACCGTTTTAAAGACATACGTAGCAACATCACCAACCAAGCAAAGAAGGCAGTGATACAATCTACACAGCCTGATGTACAGCAAGACATTACTGGGGCATCTCAGCTCACTGTATCGATCTTTATGGTTAAATATTCAACTTATTCCACATTAACAGTTGTCCTTCGGGCGAAGTGACATGTAACACGGCACTGAAGAAAAACATGGCGGAGAGGTCATTTGGCCTTCCTTTTAAAGGAGTAGCGCAGAACACAATGCATGACTACCTCCAACCCCTGTAGCTTATTCTGCCATCAGCTAAGGTGCAGCTTCATGCGTGGAATCGCACACCTTGCTGACATCCGAGACAACATCCTCAGACAAGAATGTGGACCGATAATGGAAACAAACCAGAATCCCAAACATAGGGTCATGACCTGGGCCATTTCAGACGGATGCTTTCCTGCATGGAGGATGGGAATCCGCAACAACCACATCTTGATGACGACCCAGGGTATATCAGCCAATCACCAGGGAAGATCCACTAGGAAATTCAGCATCAGGAACTCTTAAGGCACCTGGGGAACTTCACTTCTACCAAGTCACAAAGTCTAAACTTTTTCTCAGTATGATTGCTCGGATTGTTATCACACACCTGGCGACCAAACACACAATTAGCCGTAATTATTGGATTACCAACAGTAGCATTACAAACTACAGTTATTGCTTGTTCTGTCTAAAAAGCATAATTAGGTTTGCTTACCATTTGAGTAACTTTTAAGAACGTTTACCAACACTAATCAGATACACAAGTGCATTAAGCAAACATTTATTACATAGTTCCCTTTGAGCAAAGGTAGACGGCTATCATTCAATTTGAATAAATTTGGCACATTTTACGAAATAAAGAAAAAAAAAACCTACTTAGGCCTACTAATTAAAGCAGATTAAGTAATTTAGTCGGTGCACCCAAACTGCCGTGTGTCGTACGGTTTTTAGGATTATCTTTGGAAATGACACTGGCGGAACGAATGAATACTTCAATGGTGCTGCAGGCTTTCAAGTTAGTCAAATTACTGCCCAAGATTTACACTAGATGGCGTCTTTATCCACTTTTCCTTATACTAATTACAATGACGTTTCACTTAAAATGTATTTAAAAAATAAACTTAAAAAAGTTACACAAAAATATATTTTCATCTCACGGAATACTCTCCACATGCCATTAAAACTTGAGGAAAAACTTTTTAAAGCCGATTAAGGTAAGTTATTTTAATGGTTGTTATGAACTTACATCAACTGTAATAACATTGGCTGCTTTAAAGACACATTTCAATTTTTTTCGTATTGTTACACCATTTTCAATACGATTCTATATCTTTCTGCAGCTTCACCATAAACCAATACATGGAAAGATGGCACGTAGTGTAATTTCAGAAAGTAGAAATATCCCATAAGCACAACTTTCGTCTTATGTTACAACACAAGGCATTCCGTAATGGCAGGCATTTCGAGCATTTTTCTCATGCTGGCCGAGGTATTTAATATCGGAAAACTCATCCAAGCCTTGCGAGGTTAACCGGTTTGAGAGAGAATTAGCCTCAGCGACAGTAACCCTAAACATAACGTCTCGAGTTTCTTATTAAGTCTTAATGGGAGCATCAAACTCTTTCTGTTTGCTTTACAAAACCTACCTGCTTTTGATCGCTCCTACAATTAGTTGACGCTGTTTTGACATTTCCCCATATCATCTGGACATTAACTAATAGTGAATTACCAGTTCGCCTATATTATATTTTCTGCCACTCTTCCTCCTGTCAGCGAAATGCTGACTATTTCTGTTTCGTTATCTTTAAGGGCGAACACGGCATCAGCGGTTTAATTTAACAAGTTGCTCCATGGCGTCATGTATTTATTTTGAAGCAGCAAATAAATACGCTGTGACATACATGGGTGCATGTTTACCAAAATGTCGCTGCCTTCAATGACATCTCTGATTGCGCAAAAATACAACTCAGTCAATCAGGATAACGCCTAATGAACACCCCTTTCATACATGCAGTAGTACAGGTAGGAGGATTTGCAAGATCCACCATTTGATTGCTTACTACATTTCCTCTTTGCGACCTTTCGGGCACTAGATAGGAGTTATAAAAGAAAAGGGAAAACGCACGTAAACCTACCTTTCACCGCCTACTTGTACAGGATACCATCAAAAATAGAATTTCATTTGGAATATTTTACTAACTTCCAGTGTTGTTTTAAGCTATATTTTCCTTCGTTTCCCCGGGTGCTTAGAGGTTGTTTTCAGCTTTGGAGCAAATAGATTAAATTATTGATGGTGGAAATTGCATGGTTGAGGTAATGGATTCCAGTGACTGAAAGGCTCCATTGGAGATCGGCTTGGGCAGGTAGGCAGCATGCTATCCGGTGAAGACACAGTGCTCGATGAGGGACCCGTGGAGCTTTGAAAGAAGCCTCCTCCAGCCTTTGCAACTTCAGTAACTAACTACACCATGACGTCGCACCATATGACTCCACCACAGGCGGGCTGACCGGCAAATACACACAGTCTCAAGGAAAACCAAGTATTAAAACGGCGGGGGGAGGATCAAAGCGCCGAAAGACCTGCCACTGGAAATTAGAGGATGACATTAAGGACACTTTGCTCTAATACAATCCGTACACTTTTTTTTCGCGTGTAGATCTCGCCGTCCTGTAATGCAGACTGACGTTTAGCTTTGCTTTCTTGCTTTCCTTCCTGTAAGCGGTGTCGGATGAGCTAGTTCCTCGATTACTGGGCATCGGAAAACAGCTGTTAGAAGCGAAAAGAAAGTTCTTTTAAAGGCAAGTTACACATACCCCGAAATGTCAGCAACACCACGAGACAGCAGCGTACGTCCATCGCCCATGATGGCCATACATACAACCGCCTGAGGTCCAATATAATGAAAGGTTGTCCGTATTTGTTTGAAACTTGCATCAGAGGTGTTTACCTCATTTACATTTGTCTTTATTGGCTCACTTCCCCTACCCCTACACATCTTATCCTTGCTACACATAATGCTAACAACTCCACAGATTTTGATCTCCGCTTGGCTTTTATATGCTGATTACACAAACTGGAGGTGAAACTGAGGGCACAGTTTTTTCCCCCCCAAGTTATATTCAATCGTGCTTTGATCCAACCCAATACCAACAAACATTACATCACAAAATTAAGTTTGAAGTTAGTTTGGCTAAGTATCTTTTTGGTGCGTCTCGCGAATAATATTAAGGATATTTTAATTCAAAATAAAAATATGGGTAGATGACCGTGGCACGATGAAAAGTGCTTGAAGTCATTCAAAATGCACCGAAGTTGTAAGACAGTTATAGGGTTTTAAATAATTAAGGCTTCTCGGGGTTATTCAAAGTTTGTCCAAACTCCACTTAAAAGATGCACGTTATTTGGTGTGATGTGGACTGACGATTTGGGCAGAACAGATATTGCAAGTCTCCCATTCATTATGTAGGCTTCCTATTTTAGGGAAGGAAAAATCTAACATTTGGCTGATATGCTACCAATTTGAACTCCTGTTCTACGGCAGCTTTAACTGACAAAGTACGCTGAGGAGTCATAGAAGATGCAGAGCAGTCGATCTGACCCATTCATGGTTATCGTTATACCTTCTCTGAAATGAACACCAATGAGCCGTTTAAAGCTGGTTAAGTATCTTCAAAAATATGTGGGTGAAACACATAGTTCAGAGCTTTCTTATATCATTCCCTTATATCACCCAACCCACAGAAATTTGGTTATTGTTATTAATCAGCTTCTTGTTTAATGATTAGCTTTCTGTTATCGTTTATGTGCTTTTGTGTATTTATGTAAACATAACCTAATAAGAAAAACGAGTGGACCTTATGTTCTGAGAAATTTATATGCTAATATAACGAGGAAGTTCAATTTAATTTCAGTTTTTTGTCTATATTTTTAAAATACATCCTCATTATTTAAGTTATTGATGATTTTATAGATGTGCTTTCAACGTATTGCAAGTGAATCAAATGTCAAGATGAAAAGTATCGATATGCCCATATCGGGTAAAAAAAAGCATATTTTAAACGTGAATGTGTTACATAAAAGTGGGTCAGAACTGGCTTCGAGATAGTATAATCTCTGAAAGAATACTTTGTATAAGTTCATCAGACATTGTGGGGTAGACTGGATTTCTAAAATTCTTTTCCAATAAATAACAAAGTGATTATCATGCATTTATTAGAAGTACAGTAACTTTATGAGTGCAGTGGAGTTAAGGGACAACACCGGCCTGATCCCAGCTGGTCAGAACGTGCTCACACCTGCTTGGTGATTCAGCCCCAGCCGTGGGACATGCCAAGATGAATACAGTTGTCCTAGTGGAAAGCAGGAGGTGAAGAGAGACTCTGGATGGCAAAGAGTTGCATCAGCAATCTCCAAACAGCAGGGCTCCGAGAAACCTGCATGCAACATGGTCTGCTGTTCCAGCCAGGAACTTTAAAGATAAATCACATTGCAGCTAATAACGAAAGCACCTACGTGCTGTTGCTTGTACAAGAAACTCAGACTGGAAAAAAGGCATTTGTTATGGAAAAGCAAGCAGGAAATATTAACATATTTTGTTCAGACATGTGACTGTATCTGCCTTTCAAAGTACCGGAACATAGACAGTATAGTATACCTGGGCGGAGTAAAGGTTAAGATTCACTTTCTAGCCATATTTGGAAGTATGAGCTAAACAATCATAAAGAGTCCAGTAATAGCAGTGGTGCTAATTAGATCTTAGTCATTTGTTTTTGTTCTCTGATTTGTCTTTATAAACAAAAGTAAGGAAAAAGTCCATGCCGAAATGTACAAATTAAATTTGAACTAAAAACTGCCCTTTTTTGGATGGAAATGAGTCTCTGAGACACTGACAACCATGAGTGGCATTTGATCATCTTGGAATTTTACAATTATGATTACAAAAGATAAAAGTATAAAATAAGTCCTCATAAATACAGTAAAGCTGGTCACTGTAACTGTTCTGCTCTCTGTTATTTAACAAGTCATACCTGTTCTCAATGCTTCCAATGAAGTAAAGAACACCAATATCTACCTGTAATTGTATCTCAATTTGCCATGTTTGTATTAATGTCCTGTATCGTTTATATGTAGCTTCTCCATTTGACGGTTCAGCATGAATTATTCAGACTTATGCAAATCTGTTAATCCAGGGGCTCTTCTAAAAATTCCAACATGATCTAAGCCAGTATCTGGGCAACAAGGTGTTGGAGGAATTATGGCTTGGAAATACACATGGAACAACATGGTCTCCAGCAATTGCAGACTTGGGATCATTAATATGTAACAAACTTGCTCAGCCAACTTTTATTAATCGCTATTATCTATCAATCAATGTTTGGTAAGATATACATTCCCTTTTAAACAGCGTGGTCTTTGGAATAGGTAACTGAACTGGTCAATCTCTTCAGGGAGACATGAGTGAACATCGCGATGTACAGAGGAGACGGTCTTTGATGCTCTAAACCCTTTTAGGAGACAGTGCCTCTGCATGACCATCCTGTTCCCTGTGTTCATGGGACCACATCCAATGATTGACCTACTAATTAATTAACGCATGGAAACTCGTTCAAGGTGCAGTTCGCTCGACACAGAATGGTGTTCAGGTGATACCTCGACTTCAAACAAGTCTCACAAAGAGCACTTCCAGGTTTTTTTTTTGTTTGTGACTTAGGAGTTGCATGTTATTCCATTTATGCTGCTGCTACTGTATGAGCTGTTTATTAATATTTACCTTTAGTATTTGAATATTCATATGAAAGTTGTCCAGGTGCCATATTGTTACCTATAAACTATCTTTTACACTTGCTGGATCTTTAGGTTCCCATTTCAGAAATACTCTGAACCTCACGAATATCTGGTGTGATCTTTCTGAAGATTAGGTTTTGTTGCCATATGAGATGAAGAAGGTGGTTGTAGGAGCAGCAGCAGCAAAGCTGTCTAGTTGAACTGGGTGTTTCGGTAATAAAGCAGGAAAGTTTGTTTATCGGTTTGTTTTCAGAACTGTGTGGCGTTTTCTCCTGTCAATGTGCACAAAACTAAGCATCTAATCAGCAGCTTAAACATGTCAGGAAATCCTTAGTCATTCCCACTCACTTATGAATGGGCGTCTCTGCAACGATGACCAAACACGATCTGGGGAAAGGTCATGAAGCCTACATCCATCTAGATGGTGCTGAATGTCATAGTCTGCTTCCGATGTACTCTGATTCATTTGTAACTTCATATCTGGCTGGGACAGCAGACCTAAATCTGACTAAACGTTAGTGTCGTGCAATTGAGGATGCTTCTATCTTTATGTATAACATTGCATAACCACTGAAAAGGGATCTTAGCGTAATGATGTACTTTACACAGTAAACGTGTGCTGTTTTGTGAGGGGGGTCATGCAGGTGTTCTGATGTCATCCTGCTCTCTTTCCATGTACATGGTAAACTCCACTTCCCCACACTCTTTCAGGCTGCCACTGATCTCTCGCTGTGACGTTGGCTCACTCTTTGTTCTGTGCGTAGATCATGTGATAATCTCCATACCAGCATGCATTAGGACTAGCTTGAACTTGCCTGATCATGACGCATCACTGAGGAGAGTGCTGGGAAATGTGTGTGTGTATGTTTGGGGGGGGGGAGGTATTTCAAGGAGAATGTATGAGTTTTATTCAAAATGCAGTGATGAATTTGAGCTGCAAAAGCTGGAACAGTTAGCAGCATTAAATGAGTTCTGGAAGGAATAAATATAGAGAAATGCAGCCTTCTATGACATGTGGTACTCTACAGTGCACCAGGGGTGGTCCCCCTCATTGAGATGACTTTGAACATCTGTTTGAATAACTCTTTTCCTAAAAGAACACAGACAAAATCCTATAAGTGCCTCTGACACACAGGAATGAACGACAGTCCCAGCTGCTGGTTAGAACAGACTACCATTAATGAAAGAGTTTGCGAGTTTAAATCATAATTTGCATCCACGCCAAAAATCCAATGTATCCCATCTGGTGATGTGTACATGTGTGTGAAATCTAGGTGTCTGGCAAGCTACCACTCCAAAATGGTGACTCATATCTTGGTAAAATAACGCACTTAGTAAATTTACGGGAGCACAGCTAGCAATTGACAAATTTCCAGTTGTACCTCTGATGATTGTAAAACTTAAAGAAAATATATGACATGACGTTTGTTACCCTGATCATGACGCACAGAGACACACACCAGCCGAGCATACATGTAACTGACCATGGAGTACAGGATTTTAGCATTTAAACAAGATAAAAGCCACCAACAATTTTATTTCACTTTGTATCTGCAACTGACTCTCTAACCTTGTTCAAACATGTCAATTCAGGTCCCTAGTTATGTTGATTTCCAGTCCAGTTTGTCTGATTGATCACCAAGAACTGATTACTTAATGGTGACGACTGTGGGCAATAGAGCAAACTATTTGTTAATGGGATCCAGATGATCAGGATATATTTCCCTCCTTTTGTAGTAAAAGCCCCCTTTCTTGCTTGAGGAGGCTCATATTTTCTATGTAATTGATAAATATATTAATTTGATTATTAATTGAGATTATGCAAATTGTATACCCTCAATAGCCCACTTGCTGGTGAGGAATAAGATTGTAATTATGATTATTCCCAGCAAGGTAGAACATAACTTTCCAAAATTTGGTGGATTTTCCTTTTTTTAGACTTGTGACAAATCAAGATGACTATGTGAAATTTACCACGCTGAGACACAGTGGTCAATAAAGGCAGTTCTTGATGTTCAGACAAGCAGGTTCTGATAGGCTCATCTTTTGTGCTTCGTTTAAATAAATCATAAAATCAATTCAAAAGAATACGTGATATTTAATTATGAAATAGGTATGTGTTGACAGAAGCTGATGTTTACATCTTCTGATTAAAACCAGTACAATAAGAATTAATATCTATTTACAGAGAATGGGGGAAAAATAAATAAAAACACTATCAGGATATACACAAAGCATTAACATAGACTAGAATGAATTGTCCATGCACCCATAGACAAACATTATGACACAAGGTTGCACATACATACCTACGTGTCAAGCAAAAGGAACTACGAACGTCTTGGCGGTGTTATTGTTGCCAAGCACCACCACAGCGGCTTGACACTGCAATTTCTTCGCTCACGGGATGAGGAACGAATAGTTTTCCCATATTTTCTAAGGGCATCACCCGCTTCCATAAGCTATGCAGAACACCTTGCAGGTAGGTGTACTGCCACCTAAACCGGGAAGAAGATTGAGCCTCCTGCAGACGGCATGCCCGGACCGTTAGGGTCAAAGGTAGCAGATGAAATTTCCCTGATATTACTAATACACAAACGCGATCACACACAGAAATATCAAACTTCTACCGTTTACGCGGGTAGTTTAAAAAAAAGTCTCAATAACTTCGTGGAAACAGCTTCAGATAATGTCGTGCTTCTCGATCTTGCAATAATTTGTTGCTTGAATACGCACTTTTAATGAAACCGTGCTATTGTGATACTAGGCGGAGCGATCGGAAATGTGATGTTGAAAATAAAAAATAAGAATTAAACGCTCCAATATATTTTATGTATAAAACAAGCACGTAACATCTCCATCTAAAGCATCTATTGTTTGCGTTATCAGCTGAGCATCGCCGAATGATTTAGGTGCTTGCATTGCTTCAGATTAGCTAAGCTATCTTGCTTCATATCGAATAGCAAAACAGTAGAAGAAAAATGCTATTGTGATATCTTTGATTTGCTTATGCTTCTACGTTCCTAATATAATTCGTGGTATTTTTCAATTATTCGTTTGAAATATCTTAATAAATCGATGTTTTACTTTCAATTAACGGCGGAAAAAAAATGTCATTTTCACGACCACGCACATTCCCTGAAAAACGTTGACTTACATGAACGTATATTGCTGAAAAGCACTTATCCCACAGGACAATTGGTGAATTATTACTTAAATAACACCGCATACCATGCGGATAATAAGAATGCGCTTGCAACAGAAATATGCCCCGATAGGTCTGTACGCCTTTAAAAAGTTCGCGGAAGGAAGATGTAGATGAAGATCAGTAAACGAAACGATACCTTTATAATTATAGCCAGAATTCACCTCCTTAATTAATTCTCAAACAAAAATAAAACGCCGCGGATAGTCTAAATGTTATATCGATATCGTATCATGTTATCTGGAACGAAACCTACCATTTTCAGATTTGTTATTGACGCCCACCCTAACTCTGCAGAGCTAAGAGTGGGAAAAGGGGGGCTGCTTGAGGGAGATTCTCAGTAAGATAACACAACCCCATTTATGGACTGATCCGATGACGTACATTGCAGAAAGTTCTATAAAAAAACCCTTCATACATACAAAGTGTGTCGTGCCACCCCCCTACCCCCCGCGCCCCCCACCCCCGCCCTCCCCTCCCCCTCGCACGCCCACGCCCACACCATCAACCCACGTCTCGCTCGCACTCTCCTGTGGCAAAATATGATATCCCCGGAAAAAGAAGAGGAAGAAAAAACGCCCAAATTACAAATACGGATAATATCTGCAAAATAATAGCTCATCAAGTTTCCTCTAACAAATTTAAGTTCAGTCGGAATTGGAATATATGCATTTTAACACAAGCCACCTCAGCAAATTAACGCCAAACGCAGTTTTAGTTGAATTATATTCTAATGTATATGGTGGGATTTGGATCGTAGAATTGGAATCGACAATAACAGCAACCACGGGATAATAAATGACAATAATAAATATCCAGTACCAGGTAAAGTCATTTAGCAACACTAAGAAACTGCAAACGTTTATGTGACTGCAATAACAATAATATCAATCAGCACTGAAATACTTTCATGATATAATTATTTATTTAATAAATATTAGTTCTTCCCAGAATAAAATCTGATTAGAACAAACGTTATGCGAGCGCCTGTAGGCGCTGACATCTTGGGGTTTTCTTGCAGCTGTTTGCTTGGCATTAATCAGGTGAACTAGAATTGGATTTTGAAATAGGGAGAGGAACGAAAAAGAGCGACGAGCATCTACAATATTTATCGCTTCCTTCGGGGTTTTAAATAACGGATTTCAGGTCCTGATATCTTAAAAAGCGCAATCGCGGACTCTCAAAAAAGCTGACGATTTCATTTTAATGTGTTTTAGCTCAGTGTTCTTCCTCTTGTTCTATCTTTAACATCACCCATTGCTGAGCCAGTCCCTTATCTAGCAATCCCATCGCCGGCTTAGTGTAACCCTGACACGGAATTATCACTGTCTGACCACGCCTCTTTGTACTTTTATTCCGTATGCACAAATTTTTGTACGCGCAAATAAAAATAAATCGAAAGTTTTTTTTTTTATCAGGTAAGAAATATTATACGACAGGAAGTTCGATTCTGGTAGGTGTATTTGGAAGTAGCCTGCGTATGTTTGCGTGTGTGTAGCTGTGCGCGGGGACAAAGGGGGAGAGCAGGTGATATCAGGGTTGGAGTAAAAGCGCAGTATGAATGAAACCAAGCGCGCCCGTAGTAAAACACAAGAGAGATATCAACGAGATGACAGAGGGTGGGGGGATGCTACAGCTATAGTTTAACAGATATGAGTGCTTCCACCACTTAACACAAAGCAGATCAATACAAGACATAAAATATTTAAAAACGTTATGTCGATACTATAAATAATGTAAGAAAATTGATATGTAGGAATACACATAACATATATTTGCACAGATAGATAAGACAGGAAATAGATATGATCGAATATATTAAATGCAACGTGTGTTCGTTCTGTTTAATTTGACTTGTTTATCAGCTTACTTCTTATCTCTATCCCTAATCGTTACGTGAAGTAAGGAGGCATTGAGGTTGTGCTAGTCGGACTTAATATTTTATTAAAGATATGCAGCATATTATGCTGCCGGAGCAGAAGAATCGTTATTACGCATACGAAAGTTCCGTTTACCAATATAGTAATCTGACATGCATATAACCGCTGGATAATATAATTTAACATATCTAGTGTTCAGCTATGTGCCGAGAAATAGGCAATTTTAAATCTTTATGTTTTGGGAGCTAAACTGCTTATATCTTAAGAGATACAGATGTGCTTTAAATCTACAACTTCAGGTGGACTACGGCACATTACAGAAAACGCATCGATTAATACGCAGCGATTTATATAATACACATGCGTAACATAAGTTTATCTGTTTTTGAACTAAACCGGCTATTCTCTTGTTTAACTAGCAGCGGCTATCGTGCAGCGTCTCCCCCAGCAGATAGCATGACGGTAGTTTACAAAAGCAGATATTAAACTTCAGTTTAAAAACACAAAACAATGGACCAAGATGAGCACTAAACTGACGACAAGACGGTCGAGCGGTATAACACTAGCAGTAACAGATTAAAATGTATGCTTTCTTACCTTTTTAGGAGCTGACAACCACTATCAGTGGTTAGATCTTCAAGACCAACACTTGCATTTCCCAAAGTTAACGCTGTATACCAAGTGGTGCTTGCAAAGAACGTACACCGCACAGTGCCTCTAAGATTTCAACTTTCACATGCTCTAAGTGGCGACAAAACTCCAAGCGCAAAACAACCAGCCTTCAGATCTCTATGTCTTTTTTTCCGTTTACATCACAGGGCTTCCGCAGCAAGCGCTTATCAGAAAGAGGGGAAAAAATAAAACCATTCCCTAGCTTTGGCAAAGAACTGCAAAACTTAAAAGTTGATGTCCACTCGGTGTTTTAGTCCTCTGCGTTCAACGACTCCGATGCCTCTGTCCAGCGTGCTGAAAGCATATCACAGCTAGGGTTACAAAGGAGCAGAAATCTATACTTTCGTTAAGTGCCACTTGATATTGCTATAGTCTATTGCTTCCCCACGCCTTGTCACGTGAATATTTCCCTGCCAAGCCCGTCCTGTTAATATTTGATCACATGTTGGCCGGACCGTTTCCTACCAAAAGCTTCACTTATGTCAAAAGCTCGCCATATTACTCTGCATGGGACGTTCAAAAAAGGCTCCACGAGATCCTAAACAACACCAAAAGCCTTCCGCTCCTATTTTGTTTGGTCGCACTCTCGTGGTGCTTTGTTGGTGGAGAGCAGCGTGCCTACACATGTTGCACTTAACTGGCATCGGTCTTGGAAAAAAGCACGTTATGTAGGAAGCATAAACCTCATAGACGGCATAATATACAGATTTCCTGCGCGCACAAATGTAAAAATCCACATCGCAGAGGGTGCATTTTAAAGTTTTAGACGATATTGCTGACATCTCTCCCATCAGTAAGGGTTATTTACATTGAGCCCCAAAAGATAACAAGTCCATCACCCAACAAAAAGGTATTTTCAACCCCATTAAACACTATCCATAATCATTCTGAGTAGTTATTCCTGATAAGGTTTGGGGTCTAGGCTACTCACCATTTCCTGTAAGCTGTCCTGGAGATAGAAGTGTCTTAAAATCCACTCACTCCAACAGATGCTGCTAGGTAATGTGTCTTGTTTGAAGGCATCATATGAGAAGTTCTGCTGTGCTGAGTAGATCGCCCACCAGTTCGGTGACTTATGAATCTAATAACCCATTGCAATATCGGCGTGCTTAAACTCTCCAACACCTTGCCTCTACTGGCACGACAAACAGTAACAAGCTGCGATTTATAGAAAACCTATACATTTACGCAATAGCTGCCCTCAGTCAAACGTTTTTTTTTAATCGTTATTACGCGAATCTAACATGATTGAATCCAGTTCATGGATGGATCATAATCCAAATTCAGCGCAAACCCCCCTTTGCTTATGTTAGTAATTACCAGTCCTTTTGGTTAACTGTCTCAATAGATGATGGAATGAAAACACACACACATCCTACATAAAATGCTTTTTTGTTCATTACTAAGATAATATGCGGGAAGTTAGTAATCATCGATACACGACCAACTTAGAACAAGACGTTTCACACAGAAGTGGCCTGGTGTGAGGCAGGGTACGTTGTTCTTTCTTATGTACCCCGTATACAAGCACAGCATTCTCACGGGACTTGTTGCTGTTCAAAAGTCCGACTGAGAGCTCTTTCAAGACGATTTAAAAAAATCGGAATTTCGTACTTACACTTTTAAAAAATGGTTATGTATTTTGTCCTTTCTGAACAAACGTGGCAGAAACAGAAAGCAAAAGAGTTCGACTGCGGTCTTACGTGTAACTTCAACCGACTACAATGCCTAGGGTTTGTAAACATATTTATAGTAAACTTTGATTCACGATTTGCAGCTATAAACGCCGAGTGTGTTTTCAGTAAAATTCCATCAGTTGCTAGTGGTACAGTCAGTCACCTAATTGTTATTCAGTGACGAAGTCCAAAACATGCATGTGCGCTAGAAATGTACTGCTAAGTAATATGAGTAATAGGTGATATTTGCCAGTCTCTTAGCATGGATCCGCTTTGTCAAGGGAGTTGTAAAATAAGTGAGACAATATGGTATTAATAACTCGCTGCGCACAACAAATCAGGGATAGATGCACTTTATATAACATATATGTAAATATAGCATTTCCCCCCCTCTTTTTAATGTGTCTATGAATTTAAGATTGCCCTTCGTGCTCTGTTCCTTATGACACAAAGTGAATTACTTTTGGAGCAGTTCACGTTTCAAGTATCAAATAGATCCAAAGTCAATTTTCGACGGACCACACAATAAGGACTGCAGTCATATGTGTGTTTTTGTTTCTCCACCAATGTCAATGTGTGAAATGGCAGAAGGCACTTTGTCCTCAATGTCCCTTGAATTGTTTTGATTACAATGTCGATCTCCTGTGGATTGCTACGTATAATTTGTTTTGAATACTATTGTACAATGAAATTGTATATACTACCTCCAGGTTCATGCCGTAGTTTTCACACATGTATCATTTGTGTTCATGAATACGTCTCGTTTTTTTTTATTTTTTAGTCATTTCTATTATATTTAGTTATTTATATTTACTTATAACTTCTGTTGTATTTATATTAATATATAACTTGCCGGATACATCGGCTTAAGTAGTTTGATAGTGTGACCACAACAGAAAAAATATATGTTACAGGTCGGAAAACACATAAAGAGAATTTCTTTTTGTCTTATATTTGAGCTTTTATTTCCAGTTAGTGAAAGTGGACCAGCTTCCGCATATTCACATTTGCATACAAAGAACTGTGTTTTAAAATGATCAAATCTATTAACCACCAGTCATTAAGCTATACTTAAATGTGTCTGCCTAAAAATAACCAATAAGCCTTCATTCATTAGTGGAAAGGCCAATAAAGTTACATTTAATGACCGTAGAGGATCTTGTGACTTGTCTTGTTAGACTCAGCATAAGCTATAGCCACACGCCATTTGCAAAATGGTGGGCAGCTTGGTCCAGCTCATCGGCAAGTATGTGCTGCCTTGAAACACACTGCCGGGGAACCAGTTGGGTAGCTTAACCATGTCTACCCTGTTCCTACATCCAGGTGATCCCGCAAATGCGGAGTCTTACCGTCTGAAGGAGGCACGTAAGTGAAAAGTGCCGAGTGAGAAGTGTGAAAAGGACACGTCTGACACCATCACGCCACTCTGACCTGCGTCCATGGCGACAAGCGAGACATCCTCCTAGCTATGGGGATAGCTGGCGTGCTAAGGCAACCGGGGTATTTCATCGTGTCTGGTGCAACTGTGGGGGTTTGCGTAGCCAGAGGTAAGGCCTTGATCACGACTGAACAAGACCGAATCACGCGGAAGTGGGTGGCTATGATGGTGACAAAGTGCACCCCCATTACTGTTGAGAAGGTGAGAAAGTCGTGTATAACAGGGAACATCCTGCTAAACAGTGGTACAAGAAAATACAGTCAAGCAATTTGGGTTATTAGCAAAAGTGTCTCAGTCCACAGCACATATCATCAGAGGTGCTGCCAGACACCTAAGGAAAATGTCTCTCTGTGTCCCTAGGGGACATGTTTAGGTCTCACCTGAATAAGAGGAATTGTTTCTATATATAACTAAAAATAGTTTTGGACATGTTTAGGTATATATAATACAAACTCATGCAAAATACATTTACTTAAGGGTTGGAAGATTGACTTCTCACAGGACTAAGTACAGAGAGTCAGACTTATGCAAAAAAGGTGAAAATATTTCCTGTATACTATTTCAGGTATAACTTTGACTTTGTGCCGCAGCTGAAAGATGTGCAGTTAGCCTGATTGGCGTTTCTGAATTGCCTGTAGTGTCTCTGTGAGTGTGTGTGTGCCCTGCAATGCCCAGGCATTCTGCACAGGGTAGTTCCCTGCCTGGTACCTGGTGCTGGCTGGGATTGTCTCCAGGCCTGCCTGTGATTATGTCTGGGATCAGAGGGTAGAAGATGGGTGGATGGATGAATTACAGATTTGAAGGAGGTTAATCAAGTCAGTTTACGTTGCTTCCCAAGAAGACATTTAGGTAACGATACTTAAAGCTCTCATCTATGATGCACTATGGATACCTTCATAATGCATTATTATAGTTGGTATAATAATTTATAAAGCATGACAAAATCTTCTATTAGCAGTCATAAAGCATTATAGTGTTGAATATAATACCTCGTAAGCTCCAATTAAGCTGTCCTCTATAATGTACTATAGTTACCTTCATAATGCATTATAATGACTGGTATAAGCATTAAGAATGCTTTGTACTGCATTATGAAGGCATGTATAATGCATTATAGATGAACACTTCATAAAGCATGCATGATGCATAGTAAACATTGCTATAACGTGTTATGCCTTATAAATGTTTATAGTCATGTTTATAATGCATTATGAATGCGTTCATAGATTGTTATAGACATGACATTCATAGAAAGTGTATTTCTTTATTTTCTTAATATCTGTTGTAAAATTATTGCATGGGAATTGTTAGGGCTGAAGACCTGGGCTTTTTCTGTGGTAGAGAAGTTTATAATGACATATAAAGAGCTGTATAACTTTTACACCATAATATCTTCCTGTTTCATTGCAGTTAAATACACTCACATTTACCCTGGTGTATTACATGTAATGTGCCAAAATCAGAATTTATCAGTCAGCGTTTTCTCCTTCCTATTTCACAATACCGCTAACTGTTATGAATTAATGTATCCTTTGGGGCACAATATCATTTTTGCCTTTCAAACTCTGTTCCATAAATACCACTAATAGAGTCTCAGTATCACAAATTACTAGTAACTACAACTAAAATGACTTCTTGGCTGATAGTACAGCAAACGTCATAGCTCTGGGAAGCTCATTTTTTTATCCCACCCTGCACAGAAATCTCAAGTGGGGCTGTGTTCCGGAAGTTGGGCTTACCACAAAAAGAACAGAGATTAAATCGTACATTCTAGAAGCATGTGGTACATAAACCACACTTTGAAAACACTGGCAAAGTGTAATTCAGTGGGATGGAATACCTTCCTACTCATCCTCTGGCCTAGAACATGTAAAACACCCAGTAAGCTCTCTGTGCTATCTCAAGCATTGAGTTTACCCACGATGCTTTCAAACTTGCCATTGAGAAAAAAAAAAGAGTATGAGTTTAGAGTCACGACCTCATGGGTGGTGGTGGGGGGGAGTTAGGGTGACATGTAAGAAAGTTTACGGGAGCGGAGCAGCTGAAACACATACTGCAATGGAGAGGTGAGGTAATGTTTGCTACTGAGAAGGTGAATGATAGGAGGCAGTTAGTTATGAATAATTAACTGACAAAATGTAAGAATGCTGCGTTGCATGATGAGCAAATTCTGTTGAAAACGGGCTGAAAAAGATGCATCCTGTGATAAGAGTTCCAGACATCTCGTCTCCACATGCTGTAAAGCAGAGATAAACCCCAAGAAAAAAGTGACGTGGTTCTGTTTTTCAAGCACATTTTGGTAATGCTCTTCATTTTAGATTATGTCATTTTAAAATTTATGTGTAAGTAATTTACATTGTTAGCAGATGCTTTTATCCAAAGTGATGTACAATTGAGAAAGCAGGGTCAGCCAGCTTCTGGAGCAATTGGGGGTTGAGGCTCTTGTTCAGGGGGGGCCAACAGTAATATTAGTCTGCCAACTGTGGGATCTGAACCAACGCCCTTCTGATCACAGGCACGGCAAACCTAACTTACTTAACCACAACCACCCCCAAATAATATGTTTCTTGTAACCTCAACATAACTTTATTCCTCACTATATTTGAAATACATAAATCAGAGAGCTGAAAGGGTAATCAACTTAGTGGCAGGAGATTTTGGAACTGAAGTCTGACTTACAGTGGATGAAACACTCCAAAGTATAATTTATATATAAAATATAATGAAAACAATAATAAAACAATTACTAGTCATCATGTGTTAAATATTTCGTGTGACATTTTACCAGGCTGAAGTCCAAATATGCTGCTGAATGTGAACCACATTTGGCTGTTGAGTGCTGAATGTGGTTGATTTAACAAATACGCATCTAAGGGCACTTATGACCTACAAAAATAATACCTCACTGCCATTTGGTTTCAATCCACTTCCTGGAAAATAATCAATATCAGTATCATATTGAAGTCTTACTTGTATCATGCCTGTTAGACTTTAAACACATTTATCACTCAATGCAGTGCTTTGGGGGAGGGTTCTGGATTTGAATAGACATTTGCATGGTTCTGTTTGGTTTTTCTAGAATCAGCACATGGCCTGCACTGGCGTACACTTCAGATTTGCATCATGCGCTGCCCCTGAAGTCCAGTGCGCCCTGGGATGTTCCTCAGAAACGCGGACCAAGTACAGCGTCATCCTTTGCACTGGGTAAGTGGATCAGCTGGGATGCTAAATAATGCAGCGTCCGGCAGCCTTTGGATGCCCATACAGCGGCAAATGCAGCTAGTCCAGTGCTCCGAACGGACATCCCTTGGTTGTTTACGACATGGAGTCAAGTGCATGATAGGCAGAGCCGGTACAGGAAGTCCTAACCCACTTTCCTGAATCTGTGGGCTTTCGTTGATGAAATTATTCAAGAGGCCCTCCTCCCTTAATCTGAGATAAGCTGCATTTAAAATTCCGCATATAAGGCCGGAAATGCACTCTGTCATTGTCCTCAAAGAGGTTCTCAGCTACGGACGGCCCAGTCGCTCCGCGAAGCCGCTAGCTCCGTACAGCTCATGCTGGCATGCTAATTGCCCATAGAAGGTTCCAGTCCAGGAGGCTTTCCTCTTTGTGTGCGGGACCTTTGATCCTGGCATGAGCATTGCTGATGACATAAGCCTGCAGCCCTACTGCCTGCTCCAGCAGTCCTATTACCTGTTCTGGGACACCCTTCCCCAAGCCTGGTCACGATCATCATTGTCTGGCCACCTGCTTTCGCTGCGTTCTCCTTTCACACTTAAAAATAGTACCGGATGTAGTTTAACTTCTAAATACCCTTACTTTTGGAACTTAAAAATAAGCATGGCTGTTTGTTTTTAAAGTAAGAAATATATACCTACAAATCGCCTCATAATTTTTCAACCAGACACTTTTCTTTCATAAGTGTCTACTGCTTTTGACCTGGATACCTGATTTTGGTTAAAAAAAAGCTTTTCTTTCTGTTAAATAAGTTGTATAATTAAGCACTGAAGCTGATAAATTTCCTTTCTGTGCTGATTATGTTTCTGTCTTCGAGGCATGAAAGCGGGTCGTTTGTGTCCGCCTCCCTGCAAATCCCAAATAGTTTCGCTCTGTGTTTTTTTTTTTTTGCTCCCCTCTCTACAGCTGTGCTCCATGACATTTTAGTACAGTAAGCTAGGGGTAAATGATGGTATAAAGTTATGTTTAAAGTGAATAAAAGCTTTGTCCCTTAATAGTGAGAAAATGTAAGGGATTATAAATGGCAGTGGAATGGCAATGGGATGCAGTGGGATGGCAATGGGATGCAGTGGGATGGCGATGGGATGGCACTGGGATATCTCCCCTGTTTTGGTGAATGGGAATATAGCCAAAGTCCCCCTATACATCAAAGGCTTTTTGAAAATGAAAGCGTAGCAGTGAGAGATGGACAAACTGCCTTCTTTGTGTACTCTACCATCTAAATTCAGACATACAAAGCCTTTGGATGTAATACTCTGGAAAAAAAAAGATGACATACTGCACTTTGATGGTTCGCTGTGCTCTTTTGTTTGTCCAGTCCATGGCAGAAATATAATATTGCAGAATAAAAATTCTTTCAGGTCTTTTGCCTCCCAGTTGTTAGAGTTCCATTACAATTTTCACCCTCCTCTCTTTTGTTATGAATACAACATAGATGTGGTTAGATAAGGCGACGCTCGCCACTGATTCAGACTGTATCCTAAAGGCCGGGAAAGTGTGACAATCTCTGCCGAAAAGGCCAAAGCATTATTTAACTGGAATTTAATGGCAACAAACTGCTGCACATTTTTATTCAAAATCAGTGATACAAGTAAAAAAAAAAAAGTCCTTTGATCTATCCACCTTCCAACTGCTTAGGTAATACAGGTCTTTGGGGAAATAAAGTATAGTATTATATAATTAACTCCAGCAATTGTAATTCTTATATTATGGTCAATAATAATAAGTATATTATAGTTAATATGGTGATGATTATTAAAACACAAACAAAGTTTTACTAAAGAAAGGAGCAAAATAACAGCCTTCAGTAAAAAAACAGGCGGATGGTTTATCAGTTGGCTCTGTCCTGTTGAGAATGACAATGTTTATGAATCAGCTGCAGCATGTAACTTATTCTCATTTATCTGACACGCTTTTCTAAATATCAAGTGCCCGAAAGTAAGGGTTTAAGCTTTGCTTATGTACAGCACAGTCATTCATCCTTGAATAAGCAACTGAAATAACATGGCGAGGCATTTAATTCTCACCTTATACACACGCACCTCCGGGAATTCTGGGTCAAAAGCCGAGCAACTACTTACATACTGTCTTTGGTAACTTGCTTTACTAGCCTGGATTGAATTATATACAGTAGATGCGCTTATATAAACAATGATCTTTATAAAAAAAACCTGCATTTTATTTGATGAATTGCAAGCTGGATAACGTGCATCACACCTACGTGTTTTTTTTTTTTATCCATCCATTTAACAAATTGCTTATCCACTGCAGGATCACGGTGAGCCTGGAGCTTATCCTGGGAAGCACAGGGCAAGGGAACACCCTGGAGAGAAATGCCATCGTAGGGCACGCGCTCACACTCCCCCCCCTCCGCACAACAGGGCAATTTAGAAACACCAATTCACCTACCTGCATGTGGGAGGGCACCAGCATGCCTAGAGGAAGCACATGTGACACGGGGGTAACATGCCGACTCCACACACACACGGTAGGAGGCAGGAATGGAACCTCCCCCCCCCACCCTGCAGGTGCTAGGCAACTGTGCCAAGCCCTGAGCCAACAGCAGTCCCCTATATGTGGTTCTTATCTTGTCTGGATGTGCTATCAGGTTTAAGCGCCGGTCTTGTCAGAGAATGTATGCAAAGTTCTGAGTGCGCAGCCCGAACGCGGGCAAGACAGAAGGAGTTATGAAGTTTATTGAGCCGCTAAGCTCATGAGGGTTGATTCATCGTCGCTTTAATCTCCCTCACTTTCATTATGGTTGTACGATAGCGATCATAAACGAGAATCATACAGGAAATCGTGAAGTAGCACCCATCTGAAGAGGTGCAAACAAATATTAATTTGAGGTTAATCTGCAGCTGTTCTCTGAGCTGCAAAAAGTGCTCGTACAATTTCTAGGTGTTTCTGAAAGAATTCTGCTCCTATTAAGTGATTCTTATATTGTCTAACATTTACATTACTTATCTTCGTAACGATTATAGAAAACATGTCAATATGCACTTTAGCTTGTTTCATAATGCTGGTTCTTTCATCATATTGTTGAGTTGTAAAGAAGCTTTTCATAATCAGCACTAATTTTTGCCCAAAGTACATTTGCTTGATTGAACAGCAATGTATGATTTGACAGCATTTTAAAGTATATTATTTTCCTTCTAGAGGCACCGTAGGTATAGTTGGGGGCTATCAGAATCACACTGTGATTTACCTTTCTGTCTGTACCATCCAGTAATGTATGAATGCTGAAACCCTTCAGGATACAATGTGAATTAAAGGAGTATTTAAGTGATGCTGTGAGTCATCGCTGGGGTCATTTGCCTTTCACTGCAAATGAGTGTGGGTGTCCTCACTGGCTTGCACATATACACTGGATATTGTTCTCATTATTGAACAGCTATTTTGGAAAACAGGAGACATCGCGCAGGGAACAATTCCTTCACTTAGCGCCGGTGAAGGCAGCTGAGATGTCGCTCCATAACCAACACCAAATTTTTCCTATAAGAAGGTAACGAAAACGTTTCAATTGAATTGCAGGGCAAAAATCCGAGTCCTGTCTGATTGACAGGTTCCTCCTAATAGGATGTCTCTTTGACAGTATAATGGCACAAAGTCTGAACCTCTTCAATGGCCCTTAATAACAAGGACAAACGTGTTTTGGACATTCAGGACATTTTCACCCCCAGGTAAGGAGTGCAGACTTCCTTTCGGTGCCATGGTAACATGCCAAGCTGCCTTCGTCATTTCTCACTAACAGTGATACCACCTTTGAGTCATAAAAATTAGGGTATACAGTGGAAATACATAACTCAAGGAAACACTCAGAGCTGACAATTATCAAGAACAACATTTCCAATGAGCAACAATGATGTACTTCATGGTCCATGTGGTGTTTAATTAACAATGTTTTAGCAGGGCGGTACTGTGCCCCTGTCAGTCAGAAAATCTGTCACTAAATATGGGGCCACTGTTTGTAGATCAATGGTCTGGTGACAGCCTCATCTTGTAGGCTGCCATTAAGATTGCAGCATTGTTGAGTTTTGGATAAATGCTAACACTTTTAGGTAGCCTTAAAGTAAACCTTACCAAAGGTTATTGACACTTATTTACAATTATTCCTTATATACTTCTAATTAAAATGGTTTTATGTGCTTTTAATTAGCATGAGGAATTGGAAAAAGGGTATCAGCTTGTGTATGATATAATATAAATGCAAGTCAATTGGTGCGCAGCATATAAAAATATGGCCTTTTGCTAATGTCTTCTTAAAATTGACTGAAAATTGATAAAAAATAGCCACACATTCATTCATTTTCCAATTGTCTACCCTGGTCAGGATCATGGTGGGGCCTGTGGCCTGTGACCTGTGGCCTGTGACCTGTCCTGCACAGCACGGGGCACGAGGCTGGGGTCCACTCCGTGCAGGATGCCAGGCTATTGCAGGGCATATGCACTCATAGTTTTGCTAATCTCAGTTTCCTCAGAAATAAGCTAGACAATACCATTTTGATTTAGATTTGCAAGGTATTTTATCTGCAATCTGTATTGTGCTCTAAAAACAAATAAGCACTTATAAGATTGTGCTTTTTTAGAATTAATTCAGACTATTTCCTGTCCATTTGTTATTCTAAGATTTCTTCTGTTATTTATAACCCTAAACCTAACCCCTAACCCTAACCCTAACCCTAACCCTAACACATTACGCCAATGAACCACATAGCTTTGACGGTACGATATGAATTAACCTACACTCCCTTATTTATCTCTTCAGGCTACTTTCCATAAGCCAATAGGTTTCATTCCTACATAATAACTGTGTAAATATTCCTGGGGAATTTTAAACGTGAGTAGAACCTCAGTCTCCATGAGTCTTATACGAACAAAATAATGAACAAATAGAATGCTTATTTTTTAAAACATCAAACAAACAAAACATTTTGTATCAACAAACAGTGATGTTCTTCTGA